TTTTTTCGCAGTTCCTTTCTCAGGGAGCTTTAAAAATTTACAAAATCTTGCAAAAATGCGAGCAAAAATGAAATATATTTGCAAGAAATTTATCAATCATCAAATCAACTCAAGAAATGTTTGCTATTTCGCTGTCGTCATGCAGTCGTTATAATGCAAGCTTTAATTAAATTGGACCAATCAGTGTCCGCTATTCGTGACAGTCCGCCATATTTTTGAGATCAGTGAGGATGACCACCACTGATGACCACCCACCCAACACCGTTGGTGACCCACGCCCGCGATATTTGATGAACTTTAGACTCCGCTAATGTTTTCGTTTCCCGGGTGTAAATAGCCGGGGGAAATTAGTACCCTCGCACGGCGCTTCGCGCCGTCGGCTCCGGGACCAGCTTGCAGTTACAAGGTATGACAGTCAGACTGTAAAAAAAACCTCTGAGATATGAAATATAATCTTGTGTCACGCAGTGACAGTGTCCCCAAATTTCAGGATATACTAGAAAATACATGCATGCAGAAACCCTCGCCTTGCTGACAAAACCATTGTATTTTCCGGACATGAAGTATCTAAAGTAGTTGTCATGGTAACACGATAATTTTTTAAGAATATTCTTACAAATAAAAAATCGCCTAAAAATATCACTTTTAATTACAAAATTATCAATTTCCCAACATATATATGTTAGGTATGTTATTATACGTAATATAAGCTTCAATTTAAGGTAAAATTTATCTGCAAACGCTTCGCAAAACGTTTTAAAGTGTTCGTTATAAAACTAAACTGCCTTGGCTTTAATTAAATGGATTTATCGATGAACTTTCCGTGCTGGCAGAGGTCTCTATTTGTCAAATTCTCGCATGCAAATAACTGTGCTTTCCCTTTTATTTAAAAAATTCAATATAATAAAAAAGGGAATCAATATTAATAGCTAATACACTGAAATTATATGCTGTCTTGTTTAGTTGTTTCATAAACGCAAAGGGCCAAAGGCCGTCGGGTTTTAAAACAATTATAAAATCAATATTAATTTTAAAACAAGCTTACCTTCATTAACGTCGGCTCCCTTCTCTTAGCCGATTCTTTCGCCATTTCTTTCTAGAAATTTACAAAATCTTGCAAAAATGCGAGCAAAAATGAAATATATTTGCAAGAATTTTATCAATCATCAAATCAAGAAATGTTTGCTATTTCGCTGTCGTCATGCAGTCGTTATAATGCAAACTTTAAATTGGACCAATCAGTGTCCGCCATTCATGACAGTCCACCATATTTTTGAGATCAGTGAGGATGACCACCCACCCAACACCGTTGGTGAGCGCCTGCGATAGTTGATGAACTTTCGACTTCGCTAATGCTTTCGTTTCCGCGGGTGTAAATAGCCGGGGGGAATTAGTACCCTCGCACGGCGCTTCGCGCCGTCGGCTCGGGGACAATATTTTTCGATAATGCTCACAATTTCTTTTTTATTATATAGTGATTACAAATGAATGGTGTCATCGGAATCTGACGTATTAAACAAAAATGTGAGCAAATAGATTTTGTCTCCCCATCAGCAGATTGTTCAGTTGTTCTGCGATAGAGGTAGCCTTGAAGGTGCCATTACAACGATAATTGGGACAAAAACTATTATTTCTATATATGAAATTGTTATTGAATTATACAAGTATTATTATTGTTTATACATATGGCATTATTGTGCAGTATTGAGTGGCAAGCTAGCCATGGCAATTGCTGGTCATGCTATGCTAATAGACCTGCAATGCAAATCATTGAAAATTAAATCGTAGCATGACTTGTTGCTACGGCTAGCTTCACCACTGAATGCACTATTATAATTATACATAAAAAAAGCAAGAAGTTATAGGCATTGAATGTATTCATATAAAACCGCCCATGCCAAGAAAGTATAATTGTTTTCTTCGACCAAATGTGTACCACGCTACTAATATTCTTTTTCAAATCATCCATTTCTTGTTTTTTTTCAAGTATAAATGCCATATAACAAACTTTTTATTAACCTCGCTTGCTCAGTATGTACAGAGAAATATCGGATCTCGGTCTTTTTGTACAAACCCCGCCCTACGAGCTCAGTCTGTACAAAAAAGTAAAGCCGGAATCTTTCAGTAAAACTCGGAAGGAGAAAAGATGGAATCTTCCAGTAAAACCCGGAACGATCGAGAAAAGCCGGACAAAAACCTTTTACCTCTCAGCTCAATCGTGGGTTCGATTCTCGCTATGGACTCATGTGAAAAGAGTCTGTCAACGCTCTGTCGAAAGTCGTTGATTTTCTCGGGGTGCTCCGGTTTCCTCCCACAGGGAAAGTTGACAGGGTGGGTTAGGATAAACACAGTTAAGAAAGTAATATCACAATTGTTGGAAAGATAAAATAATCTAGGCTAAGTATGTAATCCCCGTAATGTTCGGAAAATACAATGGTTCTGTCAGCAAGGCGAGGGGTTTCTGCATGCATGTAATTTCCAGTTAGGTGAACATAATACTTTATGTAAAGCGCATTTGATCATATGCGCATGTTCTAGAATTGCGTTATAGAAATGTTAATCGTTTTGTGACAGATATATATCGTTGATACAGTGAAAGTCAACCAATTGGTGTAATGAGCAAGAAATTGTGGGGTGAGGAAATGTCTGAAGCCTGCCAACTTTTGAGTTCGAAAAGTTATTTAGAACTGTACAGGTGGCTGGTGACATTGGCGACTCAAACTGGATGAGCTAAAGTAGGAAATGCGTCAAAAGAACCTCGTCAAGTAATAAAACTTGGTGAAAAAGTTGGTTATTTTGCACAAACTAGTTTCGGGTTAGTGTCTACCGCCAAGCAGGGCCTGGTTATAGCCTCCCGGGTAATACCCCAGGCGGATGCCCGCTTCTCTATAATTGTATGAGGGGGAAGGGGTGTCTCGATCTTATCACGCTGAAATACGACTTCAACAGCAAACAGTTAATTGTATTAGCATGTATACTCTGGAGGTGGATTGTGTTTTTCAAGCAATTTGATTGGTTGCTCAGCTCCAGATATCCTTGCACTATTTACTTTCGCCGATAAAAACAAAATGGCTTCCTTCCCTTTTGGTTCCGGTTACAGATCGACGAGCAAATCAGCAAATGTTTGTAGTAAACGAAGTCGCCGTGTCTCCAAACACATGCAAAGAAAGTCCAATGTTTTGCTGAAGAGGAGAATCTTATCTGTATGTTACGTAACACTCGCTCAAAACTAGTGAATATACTTTTCCACTTGGTTATGACTATATTCAATTTTTTTTAAATTTTTAAAATTTTCTCAAGCGGCAAACAAACCTACAAAGTATGGTTAGTGTTTATCTGTAAAATTATGCTAAAATGAAGAGATTTTTGATGGTACGAACACCAAAGAGAGAATGTTGCCTGACGTTTAGTGACTAGTTTTGCTTATATTGCTGTATAAATATGGCGTCAGTTTTACAGCATCAATTGTAATTGCATTTAAATTGACAATATTTGATTAGTAGTGGTGGTTTTCAACAAACAGTTTCACGTATATTATCGTATCAAGACACCCAGAAATTCTGGGTGTCATGTGACCAGCTGATTCCAGGGCCATTTTTGCCGACCTTCAGCCGTGAAGGCAACTTTGTCGACATATAACATATATTTGTAGTATGATGACATAACACACATGGACAGTTTTATGATTTCGACGCACGACCTCTCAAGATCTTGAAGTTCCTTTCGGAAAGTCATTATGCAATGCAACGTCATTGTGATGATAATTTGCATATCGAACATTTTTAAATATCTCAAGAACAAAGCAAGCTTAAGCCGATTTTAAATTATGCGGAATTTTGGGCGGGGAATGGAATTTTCCTTCTTTTTTTTCTAATTAGTTCCACCTAAGAAAGCATGCACAAGACAAAGAAAAAGTCCGCTGCGCGCGCAAAATTCCGCCCAGTGGATAACCGACTTAAGAGAGTGTGCATGTGTTTGAACTTTCATTGCATGAACACTTTAAATTGCGTTTTAGAGAAGCTGCTTCAATGACATAAATAGGAAGGCCATGCTGCTGGTACTATTCCGTCCCTGTTCTGCAATATATATTACAAGCACCAGAAAATAAAAAAAGCAGTGACACACAGACTAATTTGCCAAAGTTTTTCAGCATCTGGGCTGCTGGATTTGCCATGAAAGACGGTAAATCGTAAGTTTCGTCGTGTTTATTACTCAGTTTTCATATTCGAAAATATTGTATTTTTTGTCTTTCGCCGAAAATATATCTAGCAGTTATTATCAGAAGAATTGAAGGTGCTTTCTAATTCACTTATATTCAGTTTTTGTTGCCTTTTTGTATGTATTTGGTCTTCCAGCTGTATCTTTTTCAAGTTTTTTTCTGGACTATTTTGTACGCTTTTTACCCAAAACTTGTCGAGACAAAAACAAATTCGACGAATGCCAAGCCGGTTAATTTTTTAAGTAGAACTATAGAAAATTGCTTTGTTCCTCTGTTTTATTCGTTCTTGCTTTCTGGTAAATTTTGTATCTTAAAAGCTCTATAATTTTGTGTATAATTTTGGCTAAAAAACAGTGATGAAGAGGGAAAAAAACAGAGAAAGAGCAAAGCAGTGCCACAGATCACAGTGCATTATTGCGTCGCAATGCACGCGCATTAGAATATTAAAATTATTAAAATTTGAATATTAAAATTTGAATATTAAAACATTTTACCTCACTTTACATAGGAATCTATGAACGTTTCTCGCTCAAACGGCAAAATCTCGTAATATATTCAATTATCGTTGAGTAGAAGTTGACTAATTTTGCTTCCAAACCTCGTTATCAGATGCGAACTTTTGAAGCCGCCATTTTGATGCCCTGTGACGTCATAAGATGAACGGAAGTCGCAAAGCTAATAGCCTGCTAATAGTAATTTCTATAGCGTCTTACTCGGTCTTAGGTATTTGCAGTGATTTCTCGTGGTTTTTTGAGGCTAAAAAATTATTTTTTTCCCAAAGAGTTTAAGTTATATATTTTACAAACTACATAGTGAAGGTATGTCGAGTAACGAGTCTGATAGTTGCGTAAATTCGTCAGAAAGCTCGAGTAAGATTGACACAAGGTCTGATGGCGATACAAGTACTTCGGGATCAGAATACCATGTTGTGGCATCGCATAATTTTGCCTATGACGATGAACCTCTGGCAGAACCAGGCCAAGATGTAGATATTATCCCTTACAACGCAGACGGAATACCACCATCAGTACTGGAAGAGAGAAGCGACGGCAGAATACCTCTAAATCAGTGGTAAGTATATGCCTTGTTGACATTTGAGTGATTTGATTGCATGCATGCGAATTCCTGATGTTCTCAATTGTGATTCAGTAATGCATATCGTATAATAACGAGCCACTTAGGAGCTTGTTCAAAACATTTGTGCGGTGAACAAGGCAATGGGTTTGTTGGATATTCCTAGTGCACATATTTATATTTGTGAATCAGTATCGCCTTTCTAGACTTTCCACTAGTTGTACCAATGGCAATGGCAATGACAGAACATTGTCTTTGATCAAACTTTATATATAGGTTGAATGTTTAATGTAAAGTCACTGTGTGTATTTACTATTTTGCAATATCTGTATGATTTGTATACTATATTACAGCTGGAAAATATATACAAGTTTAACTAATTTTGATAGGTGCAGTTGCCAATGTTGCCAGACAGAATTGCTGGAGGGAGTTGTGGAATATCGGTGTTGTAAAGAAATGACACCAGCCTTACAAATAATGACATTCGATGGAAGCATTGAACGAATTAGCTGCATCACACAACATGAGGATTTCGGGCCAATGACACACAGGGCTGTGCTTGAAAATGTTGGACCACTACTCAAAGACAGAAATGGTCGTTCCTATCGAAGACGTACATCACAATCTTTGAACCAGTAAGTTGTATCTCTAGATAAATTTACCTGCCTACCAAAAATTGTCATTTTTGTGAAGTTCATTTATCCCTGGCAAAAACTCAGTCATTTGCAAATTGCATTCTTTTAGATATTTGAGAGCTGTTGCCTACAGATGGCTCATTAAATGGATGTGTGGCTTATTAGGATGGGAGAACACAAGGCCTTTACCAGCCTGTGTGTATAATTTTATTAGGAAAACATATGCATCGGCAGACACAACAGGTTATATTCCTGCTGAACAACGTTCATAATGGCCATTATGTTATATGTAGTTATGTCAAATTTTTACTTATGTGTGACAAATTTAATCAAACCAGTCCAAGCCTTGAAGTGTTGTGAACAGTTTTTAATTTGAACATTTGTAATATTTTGTATACTGTCCTAAACCCATCCTATAACAAATGAAACCAGAGTACCCGGAGGAAGTCAAACAGTCCATGCTAAAAAATCACCCAGAGAAAACCAACTATATTTTTTGTCATTTGTACTCAAGTGTGTAGGCTGACCCTATACACTTGACTACAAGTGCAGTGAAAATAATGAAATGTTGCACTATTGTACTAACCAATAAACATTCAACAAGTTTTATGGTTTGGTACATGGTGCATTCACTGTATATCGTCCAATTAGATCAATGCAGTATGCCATGGCTATTGTGCATTTTTCATAAAGAGTGCTATAATATTATGTTGGCAAACTTGTACCCAGGCTCTTTCCTCTGGTTATGTTGGGTATGGATACTTTATTATTATAGTTAATATATATTACTTTTAAATTAATATTGATATTAAACTCTTTATGAAATATGCTGCCAGTAGCTTTGCACATCCTGCAATGTCAATTGATGTTTCCAGACCTGATGTTAAAAAAGTTAGGATTATCATGTTATTATAGTTATCTTCATAGTCAATATACATGTACTAACTTACATTACAAATTAACTTTATAATACTTAATATCTATAATATAATTACAGTATGGTTATTTATATAATTATTGTGTTATTATTATTATATTATAATTGTAATTTTCCATCTTCGTTTCATCGAGTTGATCCTCAAAAATAAGAAAAAATGGAAGAGGTTAATCAACAAATAAACATCACAAAAACTACAGTATACCATGAGTATGATACTAAAAATGAAACTAATATAATAAAATTATTACATCACCTTGATTGTCGGCCATATGACACCAATGGGACACACTGTCAGAAAATCACATCACAACCAAACAACAAATCTAAAAACAATTGTATACAGCTATATGCAAATAATTATAGGTATATTTGGCCAATATAATGAACATACCAAACTTACCATGAGTATCTTCAAAAAGTTGGGTAATTTGACTGCATATGTAAAAGACAATTGCCTGTACCCAGGCATGGGAGGCTAAGAGGGTACTATCACTTGCCCAAGGTGAACCCCCAGGTTAGTGGAGGGAAGGAGGCACCTTATGTCTCCATTTCAGACCAGCTCCAAGCACAATCTGACCACTGCCCATACTTAACTTTTATGACATGGGATCAGGGCATCGACCACGTGGGTGTCCTTTCATGGGGGCTTTACATTTTTTGCATCTACGAATTGGCTGGCTTTGCTGGGATATTGCATTTGCTTCCTGTTGTGCTATTAAGTCGCATTGCTGTTGCGTCTGTTCTTCCACTATGAAAAATCACAATATTAAAATGTTGTTCAATGAAACTGCACATATAATGAAATACAAAACATATTATGAAAAACAGCATCTTGTAACTCAAGTTTTGAGTCAAACCAGGATGTTGTTTTTGGAAGATGATTTGTACTGTATTACAATATTTTGAAACAGTTAGCTTGTTGTGGTTCTGGATATACTCACAGCTAGGAAAAAGTGCTTGGCCATCAAGTGCTTTTCTGTCCTTGTACCGTTTGATGGCATCTTCTTTAGATCTTCTATCTGTAAACTGTTTACACAAAGGGTCTGGTGCTTTCTTTCTGTACTTTTCCACAGTTTTAGATAAATCTTCCTCGGTGGTTGAGAATAGAATGTTCTTCACAGCGTTGACATATTCTACAATAAAAATTATATAAAAACCTGTTATAAACATGTAAACAACCATTTTTTGTATTGGTTATTTCCAATAGAAAGATTTACTCAGGATACTTGGACAGAATAAACTGTATTGAAATTACGGTTGCCATTGAGTAATTTTAAAAAGAACAAAACAATAGACACTCCAAAAATAGTTAACATTTTATTCAACGTTTCGACTAGGTTTCAGTAATGATGACTGAAACCTAGTCGAAACGTTGAATAAACTATTTTCGGAGTGTCTATTGTTTTGTTCTTTATAAACTGTATTGTTCATTGCATTCTTGCCTCAATGACCTGGTTTCCGAATGGTTATTTCTCCATGTTTTGTGTGCTCAAGAGAAACATTTGTGCACAAAATATGGGGATACAGTATAACGTTCATGGGTGTTTGCCATGCTAAAACAGGCAAACAAGGTTGCTGGGGCAAAGCAACAAAAGTGCAATAAACAGTAAAGGCTATTGGGTAAAATGGAGCACAAATCTGCCCAGTTTTTCGAAAGTCCTCAAACATGCGATGTAGATAGGGACTAAAACAAAATATTACCATAAGAAGGCTGAACTGTTACTTCACGAACAACTTCTTCACCCAGCTTAAATTTTGGCCAGTTGATGTTGTAACTGGTGCGACCGTCTTTCGTTTTCTTTGACTTGCGATGCACGTTTTCATTAAAATGAAGAATGGCAATAATGTGTCTGTGAATTTGAATAAGTATGTAAGAATGCTAAAGCAAATAATGTACATTTCTATTAGAGTATACATAATACCTGACATTTTGTATACAAACAAATAAGTTACCTGCAAAAAGTTCCCAGCCAAGAGTAATGGATCATTTTTGGATGCCAATGGTTAAGAGTAGAATGAAACCCTTCAAGACAACTGGTTTGACCATCGGGTGATAGCTTGGCAATGTCCTTCAGGATGCGTGGCTTCAATAATATCGAGCAGATCCGGTCATAGGCAACAGTTCCTTGAAGGATAAAATTGAGTTTTTTACAGGTTAAATGGGACTGATTATATGTTAAATGGGACTTGATCAATAGTACAGTACACTGAAATAGAAGATTGGCATATCTATGTGGCAGCTGATCAAATGATTTTGATTATATTGAAATTGGGCAATTAAATTTAGGCAATTAACCAGCAAATAAAACCCTAGAAAACTTCTGACTCAAGCTTAGTTCTCTTTTCAGGATTTAAATGCAAAAACAATACCCATAGGAATCCATTTTCGTTCTTCCAATTCCTCATGGCCACAAGTTGTAAATAGTGGGTCTGGGTGATCTTCATGTTTACCAGCCATATGTCGCACAGTTGATTTCCATTTAGCCACAATGAGGTCCTCAAAACCAGGAATGGTGGTTTGTGCACTCCAGTACAGATGCCTGCGGATACCTTTTAGCCAATCATTGATTATTTCACATCCTTTCTCTTTGCTCACTTTCCTCAGTTGCTTGTTTATACTCTTATTTACATGCCATATGTCATTATAGTGTTTTGTCCCTTTTTGCTTGGTCCTTATCCACTTTGCAATCCCTTTATGTCGGTCACTAATAAAGATGTCCATCTTAAGACCAGATTCATTTAGAAAATTAAATGATCTTTTAGCACCCTCAAGTTCCATTGCATTGCTGCTGCCAACTTCATTTGCCTGCATAAAAAATGTTTTTAATTATATTATACTATTGTCAACTACTATAGGGTGGTCTATGTAGCCTTTTGCCTCCTATTTGGGTTGTTTAGCTAAACATGCATTTCATTGATATACTGTACAATAAACATGATTGATTACTTTGCTTTGGGAAAAAGCCTTGCTAAATAAAATGACACCATGATTTCCACAAAGCAAAATAATCACAGGCATGTTCAGCCATGAGTCCATGAACTACAGATAAATCATAAGAATGAAATTATACCTGAAGTAATTCAAAGTGGACCAATTTTGATGTTGTATTGCTCCACATGGTATACACACCATACTTAGCGCTATGACCCATAGAATCAAAACGTCCATCTCCTGACCATGTCTGGGATTCTTCTCCACTGTCCTTTACTTCCTCAATCAAACCAGACTGGTAAACTTCCCAATGTTTCAAGACAGCTGGGAATAGGTGGGTACTTTGATGTATATGATATGTCCGTACACTTATTGTTGCAAGGTTCATGTGTCTGAACATCAACATAGCTTGGCTGATATTGATTCCAGACATCAAGATACCAAAACTTGTCATAATATTCCCAGCTGCATATCTTCCCATGACCATAGGTTGACTTCTCCATGTGAAGTTCTCCATAAGGCATTTACTACAAGCCTGCACAACAGTAGCCATTGACCCAATGTGTTTCACCTGAACCTTCGGATTTTCGGACTTACAATTGAAGCAGAATCTTCCAAACAACTCTACCAGGGGACTATAATGTACAAGGAACATTGGTTCGTTGTATGGACTGGTTCCTTCGTCAACACTGAAATAGAAAAACATCAGTTCATTTACTCATATTTTAATACTATTTTGTCTGGGGATGAATTGATGCATCTTCAAATTAATATAAAGTCGAACTATTGATTCAATAATCATTTAGTTTGCAATTAAAAGCTATTAATTCTAAGGCACAGTTTTGTAGGACAAATTAGAGGAGATTATTGATTGGAACAATATTGTTCAGTGACATCACATAACCTACAGACAAGTTATATACAAAAAATTACCAGCCTTACCTGACAGTGTTTTTCGTAATTTCTTCGTCCATCACAGCAGCAGACTGACCAGATTCTTCAAGAGACGAATAATCCATCGAGGCGTCATCATCAAGATACTCTTGCTCATTGTCTTCATCGATGTGGGCTTCGTCCAAAGCTGCCGTACTAACACTTGGTTGACTCGCAAATAATGTTCTATTTTCTGCTTCTAGCCTGTGTATTTTCTTTTGCAAGGTCGCTTTTGTCTTTTTATGCCAGCTGATTGTCTTTTGAAGGGTTTTGATTTTCTTCTTCAAGCGATTACACGACGTGCACGAGCTAGCTGTGAGATCGAGCTCAATGTCACTGTCACTGTCGTACGATATTGTATCATCAACAGTCTGAGATGTTGTTGCAATCTGTTCTATTGTATCATCAACAGTCTGAGATGTTGTTGCAATTTGTTCATCAACTTTCGCTGGAGAAGAGGCCAACTTTACAGGAGACAATCTTTTGCTGCGACGAATTATCTTTGAAATAAGAATATGCAGAATCTTTAGTGAGCGACAACATTTATATTCGCATAATATTAAAATTCATCATGTGCGTGGGCGTCTTGAGACGCCTTCGCTGCGAACGCATGATATTATAATACTAACCTGCCTTCGTCTTCGATCTGTCAATTGTTCTTCAGCCGGTGCGACAATTCCAGCTACATCAATTGTAGGAACAGCATCTTCTTTCAATCTCCTTTTCATATTGAGAGAATTAGCCAAAGCAAGATTCACATCGTAGCATGAATCCGTAAAGTGTGCAGAACAAAGACACGAGGACGCGGTATCGTGAAAACTCGGTCTATGTTTGTGGACAAAATTTACCCACTTTTTTCGTCTTTGCTGATCTGTTTCTTCGTTAGGAAACAGATGCATGGATATTCCATCAGTTTGTTGATTATTCGCGCAACTAACTAAGTTAGGACCGCCAACACAGCGTTTTCCTCCGCGATAGCGTTTAGCACTACTAATAGAATACGCCATGATGAAGTTGTGTTCATCTTATGACGTCACACGGCATCAACATGGCCGACCAAAAAGTTCGCACAGGAAGTACCAAAAATCGCAACTTTGAAAGGCTATAAAATCGGTTTGAAACAACCAATTTCAATTCTGTTTGCGGGAAACATATCAGGAAAGTGAGCACTTTAAATTAAGCCAATAAAAAAGGGGTCGAAAAATTCGCTGCAGTAGCACTTTAACATTCCGGATGTTTTGACAGGGCGTAAAAGGATAATTAGGAATTCTTGTGGATAAATGGAAAAGCTGCTGACCGACAGGTACGCTTGCACGATGCCCGTCATTTCTGGCCATGATATATTTGTAGTAGATATAAGTTGATAAGCTACCGTGTATATAAAGAATTTTAAGTACTATGTATAAACCGAGTGAGAGGGCTTTATCGGTGCATATAGACGCTAGTCGAAAGCGAGCGGCTATAAGGCATATAGGCACTGGCGATAAAGCCCAATCACGAGGTTAGGTTAATAAATGACTTCGAAAATTCACCTTTTGTTTTGCGTCCCAATGAAATAATAAGAATTGTTAACTACAATTGTTCTATTGTTTTACGATTCTTCCCTTCATTGATCAGCAAGCAAATTAATGACTGGATTAATTATCAAGTCATACAAGTCGTTAAACGGAGTTTTCAATTATTATTGGAAATTTGAACATTTGACTTGTGTCGTTAATGAGTCGGTTTCGAAGCGCTCAAAGTGCTGAAGAGGAGCAAACGTTGCTCGAAAGAGCGACGCCGCCAAGTACAAGATACGCAAGAAAATAGGCTTTGAAAATTTTTGATTCCTGGAGAGCTGCTATAGAAAGGTTAAAGAAGTGAAGGTCGACGACGCTGGTCATGAAACTGATGATATTGGCCCAAATCAGACATTAACTGCATCGCTGGCGGAAATGAATGAAGCGTTTTTAGCATTTTGGTTAAGCATGTGGGTTGGGTTTAAAGAGTTTAAAGTGGTGTGTAATCAAAACGAAAGGGTTGTTAATCCCGTGTTTAATAATTGTAACATTACCTTTAACTTTGGAAAGTGAAGAATTTATTGATTTCTCGAATATTTGAGTTTTTATTAGGAACAGATTAATAAACATTTTGTTAAATAAAGAATGCTTTATAAAGGTACACGTACCTTTATCATAAAGCAGGGTTGGTAGGTTTGCTGTATAATTAGGCCAAACACCGTCACACTAGGCCTTTGTTTTCTTTGTTTTGGCCTTTTGTTTTCTTTGTTTTCTAAACGGCACTAATGACGATTTGGCCTAATTATTCATCTAACTTACCAAGGTACATGCACGTAGTCTGTATATGAATTTTAAATCAGCACACACCGATCTATATCACGCTATATAAGGGTCATCATGTGACGAGATTTTAAGAAATTCATTGACTAATTAGCTCGTGAATTATTCATGAATTTTAGAAATATATATAGTATGTGTGTGCGTGATCACCGAATGGAGCCTGATTGGGAAGGATTCATTAAATATCCATCCATTAATTAATTAATTAATTAATCAATTAATTTATTCATCCATTACTAAGCACAATATAATAACAGTGCCTTAAAATATTAAAAAGATATAACAAAAGATTAATAATATGCTTGTCAAGCCAATGAGAAGCGAGTTCATGACACGCTAAATAGCAATACTGTTCGGAATACGACCAGGCAAGAGCCATGTGTACGGAGCTACCATTCCTTCGTTCCTTTTCTTAATCTTCTCCGTTATCTCGTCAAGCTTACTCTTGAATTTCGCCAAGGCTACTTGTGCTGAAGCATCACCAAACAAGTTGTCCGCATAATCCCCGAGAAACAACTAAATTGAGAAAATTTATCAGGCTTCGTAGAAAAACGTGGAGACCCTAAACTCAGCACAAATTATGAAGACTGCATCAGTGCAAAATTTGGCAATGATAATCCATACTAATAAAGCAATGCTAGTTACCTATTTTAGGTCTTAGTGCACTGGACTGAATGCTTTCTCGGGGTGCGTTTTTATACATTACATGACGACGATGATACATGTTTTAATTTTTAGAAAATTTGATGCATATTTAGTGCGGTTGTGAAGCATTCCATCCGCACGCCCTGATTTTCATCATTTCAGAGATATATTATATTAACACCATAAATTATTATGAAAACTTGTTTCACGTTTTCATTTTACCAACAACAAAAAAATAATCAATAAAAAAATATTATTTACAATGTCGATTCATCATTGGTTAGAATGAATGTGTAATTTCGAACTCAAATAAATTGTGGGAAAGATAGAAAAAATACCAAGGAGAAAGGCGACGGAACTAAGAAGGCGTGTTATTCAGTCAGCGATGAAAAGAACTATAATATTATATAGATGTTATGTTGAATCAAGTTTTGCGACCGGAACTATCCAGTACAGTTTAAAGTACAGTTTATACTGCAGAACTTCTTTATCATATAGATAATAGATTTATACAAACAATTGTGAGAAAAGTATCTCGGCAAATACAAAATATTGAGAAGATATAAACTACAAGCGATTATTATTGCGCCTATTGAGTATTGTATTATATACTATTCACTCTATTGACTGTTCATCTTTGCATAATAGTTTATACTGGTACTGTATTGTGTAATTGTTTACTCCGTTACAGTAACGTTTTGTTAATATTATCAGTTATTTTTGAAAGACATTCTTTAGCTATCCCTATCACTATGTAAGTGTTCCAGTTATTAAGTGTTAGTAGGTGGACGGGAATATTCGAACGGAAATTTGTATACTTTTTAAGAGCTACTCAGTTGTGTCTTGTGGAGATATTCGAACGGAAATTTATACACTTTTTAAGACCTACTCAGTTGTGTCTAAGAGGGCAAAAATCTATGTCTATATCAGTGTGCTTCAGGTAGTCTAGCAGCTATTTGCTACGTTTATAACACTATACCAATTAATGTACCATACTTTTGTATTTTATGAAGTATATGATTATGAGAGTTTCCGTGTTCACTATGGCATTTATGAAAAGCTAAAACTGACGCAGACAAAATACATTGTAAACACAGCCTGTTTTAGGCAGGCGCTGAACGGGTATAAACTATCGTGCAAAGATGAACAATACGACAATAGAAACATAATACAATAGGCGCAATAATAATCGCTTGTAGTTTTTAAAGTTTAAAAATGAAAATTAAAGCCCAGCAAATGACTTTTAGACAAGACATAACAAAAATATAAAATTTATTGGCTAACGTTTCGTTGTATTGTTCACAACATCTTCAGAGCAATTAAACTGATTTACAAGCGTGCATTCATATATACAAATTTTAAGCGGTTATACAATATTCAAATAAGCGAATAAGAGGAATGGATGAAAAACAACCTATCATTAAAAATATTAGTAAATTAAAGATATAATGGTTAGTAATTATTAGTAATTAGAGACCTATAGCAAAGCATTAGAATAGGTCAAGAGGAGTTGACCTAATGTTGGCATTTAAAATAGGATTAAGTTTAGATATGAAAAGGCTTTCGCGAATGAGTAAATCCGCTTCAGAAGTAGCAGTGGAAAGGAATTTAAAATCAGAGGGTGAAATTTGATGTTTAATGTTATGGATATGAGCGAGTATGCCTGACATGGTTGAAACAGAACGTTTCTTTCCAGTCAAAGGTGAAACACCCATATGTTCAGAGATACGCGTGTGTATGTGTTGGCGAGTTTGACCAACATACAATGCACCACAGCATTGACACTTATACAAATACACAACATGCGATCTCAGTTCACAAAGAATTTTGTCCTTAAATGGGAAGAAGTTCGAAAGACGGAAAGAAGGACGAAAGACACGTAAGGAAATATGTGGATAAGCAGAAGAAAGAAATTCAAGAAAACGTTCTCCCTTAATGGTTATCCTGCAACACTTGTTGATAGTTGTATCAAATCATTTCTTGATAAAATGTATAACTCTCGAGATAAAGTTCATACTTGCTCTAAAAAGGTTATATATTTTTGTCTTCCTTTCACTGGTCATCATGGTTTGCAAATTCGATCACAACTTCAGAAATTTCTTTCTTCTGCTTATCCACATATTTCCTTACGTGTCGTCTTTCGTCCTTCTTTCCGTCTTTCGAACTTCTTCCCATTTAAGGACAAAATTCTCTGTGAACTGAGATCGCATGTTGTGTATTTGTATAAGTGTCAATGCTGTGGTGCATTGTATGTTGGTCAAACTCGCCGACACATACACACGCGTATCTCTGAACATATGGGTGTTTCACCTTTGACTGGAAAGAAACGTTCTGTTTCAACCATGTCAGGCATACTCGCTCATATCCATAACATTAAACATCAAATTTCACCCTCTGATTTTAAATTCCTTTCCACTGCTACTTCTGAAGCGGATTTACTCATTCGCGAAAGCCTTTTCATATCTAAACTTAATCCTATTTTAAATGCCAACATTAGGTCAACTCCTCTTGACCTATTCTAATGCTTTGCTATAGGTCTCTAATTACTAATAATTACTAACCATTATATCTTTAATTTACTAATATTTTTAATGATAGGTTGTTTTTCATCCCTTCCTCTTATTCGCTTATTTGAATATTGTATAACCGTTTAAAATTTGTATATATGAATGCACGCTTGTAAATCAGTTTAATTGCTCTGAAGATGTTGTGAACAATACAACGAAACGTTAGCCAATAAATTTTATATTTTTGTTATGTCTTGTCTAAAAGTCATTTGCTGGGCTTTAATTTTCATTTTTAAATTACGCTTTCCACCCGGTGTATCAATCGCTGCTGTTTTTAAAGTTTCTCAATATTTTGTATTTGCCGAGATACTTTTGTCACAATTGTTTCTATAATCTACATAATAAAGAAGAAGTTCTGCAGTATAAACTATATTATTATGTACTATACATGCTCTAAATACAAATTTTATAATAAAATTTAGATAATCCAAAAAAATTAGATAATCCTGCAGGCTATATCGATATGAAATTGCACTGGTCCCCGAGCCAACGGCGCGGAGCATCGTTCCGGGCGTAAGCCCTGGGCGAGGGTACTAATTCCGCACGGCTATTTACACCCGGGGAAACGAAAGCATTAGCGAAGTCTAAAGTTCATCAATGATCGCGGGCGTGGGTTACCGTGCTTGCTTCGGGGGGTGGTCATCTCACTGATCTCATAATATTGCTGTTTGCCAGGAGTGAAGAGGCAAAAAAATATCAGAAAGCTTGGAAAATTGTTTCACATAACAAATTGTAAACGCAAATATTTATAAGAATTGATTTAGTATGAGAAATCGTAAAGTTTAGGGCAAGTATGTTTCAATTGTTTATGTATGACTTTGTAATAATGTAGACTGTTCTTGATGTTCAAGTCTTTCCTATGCATTGTTTGCGAACGCTTCTTAGTTAAATTAACCTTTGTAGAAGTTCATGATAAAAAGGAAAGCAAATTATTTTCATTAGCGTCCTGTACGAATTAAATTTATTTCATTTCAGAGTGCGAGAAATAAGTTGAAGCTTGAGTTGAAGAGTTTATAAACATCGGCAAAAAGCAGTTGATTTCAATTCACATTTAAAAACGTTTTACGTAGAGTTTCGTTTTGAATTCTACATTAAAATAAAGCCCATAGAAACCAAAATATTATACCTACTTTATATATATTGTAGAAATTGATAGTTCTGTAGTTAAAAGTGTTCAAATTTCACCTATTTTTCCCGGTTTGTACAAAAAATTAAAAAAAACCCAATTATCGTGACATCGTCTTGCCATGGCTAACATGACGTGGCAACACGAGCCTGCGTTCAGTCTTGGCGTAACTACGAATACCTAATTCATGTTGAAACAATGTTTGGAAAACATAGGCGAGGGGTTGTTGCATGCATGTATTTCTATAGTATACCTATACATAACTGACAATATTTTTCACCTTGCCGTGTTATCGCCAGCTTCACTCGAATCGGAACTGCTAGCTATGATAATTGCGAATATCAAAGCCCAGTTTGGGGGGGAGGGGAGGGGTGAGAAGTGCTTGTACATTATATCCCTGATGCACGTGCACGCAGTGTAGCACGCTTTTCAGTAGCAAATTTTCGTTCTCTGTTTAGATTTTAATATAATTATATGAAAATCTTAAAAATAATATAATTTCATAATCGAAAGTCGAAAGTCCAAAACCAGTCCAAAGTCCAGTGCACTGTTCACAATATGCACAGGGACGCCGGAAAGTCGATAATTGGGGTGGGGCAGATATTCATATATTCGTGTTCACAGACTGTAAAAACAATCGCTTTCAAAGGAAATAAATGATGCAGAACATGAATATAGGAATATCTGCCCCCCCCCCCAATTATCGACTTTCCGGCGTCCCTGAATATGCCCTCAGAAATTTGAATCTAAAATGTTAGTAATAATAGTAATTTTAAAACCATGTGGCCAGCGCAAAATGTTTATATTTTAGTTTGTAATTGTTTAACATTTTCATATTGGACTATATTGGATTTCTAGCCCGACAAAGTAAAACTTCATAGCTATAATTTTGCCGTAAATTACGTAAATTTGCATAATATTTATTGTCCAATTGCAAAGTCGCAGAAGTTGAGTATTTGTAGATTGAAATTGGCTAACCGATTTCAAGTCTTACTCCACGTTGCGAATAAATGATCAGTTACTGGTATCGCCAGTAAACATATTTATTTTATTAATAATGGCCTCAAAATCCCACACAAGTACCTGAGTTGAAAACGGATAAATTAGATCATTCCTAATTACCTCAGTTGGATAAATCGTAGTTAAAGCATTGACAATGGATATCATTGTACCAGCTTGGTGTTTATTTGCCAAAGTAGCCATAATGGCAGTGGAATCTACTTCTCCTCTCTTTGTTGGCGCTGGTTGTCTCATCAAGGTTGGAGAATTAGGATGGTAACCATAGGTGGCCATCTGAGAGAAGTTAACAGCAGCATGTTGACAAGAACAGGTAAAGATCACCTTGGTCAGGAAATTGATCAAGTCTTTGCGATTCGTAAATGACTTAGGCACTTTTTTATCCACACTTTTGCCTCCAAATTTGTAGCCGTTTTCACGAAGATCACGAATCCAATCCTGAATTTCATTATCCTATAAAACATGAGATGTAATGAGTATTTCGATTTGAAAATGATGCTAGAGTGAAAGGAAAGTCGAAAGCAATACAAAATCTAGTATCCATACGTCAACCCAGAGCACGTCTAGCCATTTATTCATGAGGCTAAGGCTAACCTGAAAATAGAACTGAATTTCTAAGACCGCTCCTACTTGGGAATTATTGATGACTGGCAACCTTATTTTCGATGCATGATTGCATAACTGCTTGATGTGCTTCATTCAGAATATGTCGAAATAATTCTCTGTTCCCGGTTCTAAAATATATGACTTTAACATAATTATCCAGAGCATTCCTCACTTGAATAGCCACAATCTCGTCCCTGTAAACAATCTGGCTTGTCGACATCTCGTTCGTTACAACATTCCAAAACGCTCTCACAGTACTCTAGAACTGGTCTGATGAAAGATTTATATAATTAAGGTGTTAGGAGGACACATCGCAAGCTCCTTGCGTATAAAACGTCCCACACTCACCATATTTGGGAATGAGATATTTAAAACGAGCATTCCATTTTAGAGAATCACCTAGAATAGCTTCCGGATTTTTAAACTCAGAGACTCTTGTTAGTTTATGATTGCCAATATACACATAAAAACTGTGCGTGATCAGTAGTCCCGTTCCAAATACCACAACTTTTTTTTCGTTTTATACATTTAGGTATACCAAGGGCCGAGTTGGGACTGACAATTAAAGAGAAAGTTGGTCACAAAAATGGAAAGTAATAAAGAAATGTAAAGACGGAGATCGTTTATCTTGTCTTAAATGAAAAAGAGAACTTTTTCTCCATAAACAGATGTCTTCTACTGCCAACTCATGATGGACCACTCGAAGTGTCGAACTTCGTTGACCTATAGCGACATCCAGATATGATCAACCAATGCAGGTATGCGGACTTCAACGACGAAAGCACTTTGGAGTAAGTCTAGCTATAATCTAACCATAAATTAGATATTATCCAAAGTCTGTGGATTAAGTCTAATTCGTATTAAATCAAGAAGGGAGATGCTGCATGTACTCGCCACCTCAAGTGATAACCTCCTTTATATGCTTTCAATAGTTCATTATCAAGCACTTAGTGCGTACGAGCAGTTGGGCACGAATTTATAGTTTAATTTATATCCTTTTCATATATCTATTCTTATATACATCAGACTAAAATAATGGGATTTTAAACAGTCATATAGGGTCGGGGCGAGGGATATAATTTATGCGCTATTTTGTTTGTCGTAGCTTTGGCATGCTCAGAATGAAATTCCGCTGGTGATTTATATATAAGCGACTTACGTGGTTAAGGTGGTGTTACAATTAATTGCTGAATGTAGGATACATCGAAAAATCATACATCACTTTTAATACTATACTACGCTTTTTGTCATACATGGATATTTTTAATAAAAGCATATAACCCATACTTACCTTTAAAACTTGTTTCTTGTCATTGTAGTAAATATATACAATGTCCTGCACGAACTGGCGAATAGCGCCCCAAAGAAGCAAAGCGTCGTTTTTGTAATGAAACTTCCGTAGATCTTTAACACCCCGTTCAGTAAGATCTTTGATCAAATCGTAACTATCAAATGAAACACTTCGGTAATACTTCTGCATCAAGGTGACTTGACCGCCACCACCAATACTGAGAACTTTATCAGCTGCACCACCTTCGGGGATCAATTTGTTTCGACCAAGAGTGTTGATCGCCATAATTCCTTTTGTGTGAGGATAGAGAAGTTTCCAAACTGGGTGAACTGATGAAAGATTACGCCAAGAAGCCACGGCAGTTGGTTCCATCATTAAATGACATCGAAGAAGATGCGTAATTATCTACAATCAAAGTATTTATAATTTATATTAATTATTTGAACTGATTGGATTGAAATCACCCGCGTAAAATTTTTAATTTTTTATAAAGCAGATTCGTTTCTGTTTCAAAAGACACACTTGCGGTACCTCGCTGAATGCCGCAGCGTAGAAAAAAGAACACAAGGTGAACTTTAAATTTTTCAAATTGTGTTTTATACGTTCAAATATTCGCAAGCGTTTTAATTAAACAAGTTAAGATTCTAAGATTCATAACTTACAAAAGAGAACACAAGTCTATCATAAGTGTTACGAGTGAATGGATAGAGTCTTCGAGAATTTATTTCGTTTTGCCTGGTGGTATGTTGCCTAGGTTTGATAGAAGGTTATTGGATATTTATAATTAGAATATTGGAATTAAAAACAAAAGTCTGAAAACTGAAGTCCTTAAGGATGTTATTCAGTCAAACTTGGACCTACATGCACTAATTAAAACAATCAAAATTAGGAGCCGCTCCAACAAATTCGTTACGTCCGACACGAAAGAACTCATGAAGTCTCCAGACAAACTACATCAGAGATTTCTTAAAACACGTTGCAAGCGGGATTGGGAAATGTACAAACAATCTCGTAACAGCGTTAAAGTTATGCTTAAGGAGGCAGCAATAAACCATCTATCTGATGAAGTTAAAGTCCATAAGAATAATCCAGGTTCCCTCTGGAAAATAATTAATAAAGCTATACCTGTAAAAGAGAAGGAAAAACATATCTACACGAAAGACCTCAAGTCGATTGTTGAAGATTTTAATAACTACTTCACCTCAGTTGGAAAAATCACCGCCGTTACAGCATTAGATCTGGCAAACAAAAACAACATTGCACTATCGGATCCTATATTAAACTCTGAAATCTACCCCACTGATCAACAGTTTAAGTTTAAACCTGTCACTTGTTCAGTAATTCGACGAATTGTTATGGCAATGCACAGAAACAAATCACCGGGGCGGATAAGATCAACAAGGGTGTTGTCAAAGATTGTCTACCAGTCATTCTGGGCCCCCTTACAAACCTAATTAACAGTTCCTTAACGTTAGGCAAGTTTCCCGATAAGTGGAAATTATCTGAAGTAATACCATTGCATAAAGATGGCGATCAAGAGATACCGTCTAATAATCGACCCCTTTCACTTTTAGAAGTCTTATCAAAGGTCTGTGAAAGAGTTGCACTCGACCAATTTAGTTCATACATAACAGAAAACCAACGTTTATGACCACATCAAAATGGAAATAGGAAACACCATTCTACAGAAACTTTAAACATCTTCACTATGGACAAGATGCTGGAAGCCATGGACAAAAAACATGTAACAGCCTTCATTTTATTGGACCTGTCTAAGGCATTTGACAGCATCAATCATACTATCCTATTGCATAACTTAAAATGCGTAGGAGCGTCTCCGCTAGCCATTCAATGGTTTCATCATGAAAGCTATCTGTCAGGCAGACCACAATACGTACGAATAGGATCAACTGTTTCCTCAACTAGCGCACTAACTCATGGAGTGCCCCAGGGCTCTATTCTTTCAACATTTTTGTTTGGAATTTACGTTGATGATCTACCAGCTGTAACGGTTTCGAGTGATCTCGATTCCTACGATGACGATTCAAAACTCCATCTTGCAATGGCTAAACTAGGAAACGATCTGTATAAAACCGCTAAATGGTGCTTGGAACATCAATTATTAATCAATCCTGACAAGACCAAATTCCACTTAGAAGACACAATATCAATGCTACAGAATTTACCAACACAAATCAATCTGAACTTCCTCAGAAAAACTCTTAAACCAGTTTCAGTTGCCAAAGACTTGGGGATGCACCTTGATTAACATCTCTCCTATGATGACCATATTTCTAAACTGTCGTCAACGTGCGTAAACAAATTATGCCATTATTGTCGAGTAAAGGAGAGCTTTGATAAAAAAATACTTTAATATTACTTATTGAAGCTTTGGTGATTTACAGGTTGTTATATAATTCTTCGGTGTGGGCTAATACCTCATCGAAAAATCTAAATAAATTTCAAACAGTTCAGAACTTCGCATGCCGAATCATCACGAGTATTAAAAATTTTGACCATGTAACACCAGGTCTTCAAGAACTTAACTGGCTATCCATTGAAAACTTACTTATTTACAAAGACACAATAATGGTTTATAAATGTCTGAACAACATTGCGCCAAGTTACCTTGCAAATAAATTCACAAAGCGATCTGATATTCATAATTGTCAGATTAGAAATGACTACAGTTTAAATATTCCAAGCTATAAAACTGCTGCAGGGCAAAGAAGATTTCATTATCGCGCAGTTAAAATATGGAACGATATTGATGATGAAATGAAAAAGATTCCAGAACTCAAGGGTTTTAAGAAAAAACTAAAAGAACGTCTTCTAATTAATTAAATTCTTAGTATCTTGTATATGAAGGTTTTAATAGACAATCGTAACTTAGATTTTGAATAGTATAGTATAGCTTTATTTTAAATTGCATATTGTAATTGTATGCTGAAAAGCCCTTTTGGGGAACATACAAAGTTTTTAATAATAATAATAGTAATAATAATAATAATAATAATAATAATAATAATAATAATAATAATAATAATAATAACAATACTAATAATAATAATAATATTTTAGATTTGCCCATGCAGCCTATTCTTTCTGGTTTAATTAAGCAGCTAAAGTTATTAATATTGTTAGAATTAGATAGCTTAAGATCTCCGACGTCGACGTCAGCTAGGACGCCAGGGCTAAGCAGGGGACTGGGATTAGGACGTCGTCCTAAGTAAATAAACTTCCATTTAAGGTTCACGACGTAGACATTTAAACTATAAATGTTCACATTCTTTTGAAAATGAATTTAATAGACACATGTGAACCATTACCCTTTGTTATGCTCTTGTATTTACGACGTTAAAACTCTCGTAGTGAGGTTGTCGACGTTTGGTGGAGAGAGACACATGCACACTTCAAAAACTATTACCAATTTACTTCCGCTTGCCGCCCTAAATATTTGGCGACGTATATACTTGAGCTATCGACTTATTTAGGACGATGTCCTAGTCCCAGTCCTCTGCTTAGCCCTGACGTCTTAGCTGACGTGGACGTCGTAGATCTTAAGCTATCTATTAATGACGCTATTGTTACGTGGACACCACGCGTGTGTCACACTATTCTGTGAGCACTGCATAGAATATTAACGACTTTTGCGGTTGTTCTGAGTTTAGCGAATTGAGAAGTGAAATATAAGTTTTAAAAGTTTTTTTTATTTAAAAAAAGTTTAGTTCAATAATTTGAGTGTACTTTAAGTGGTCCTTCGAACCGAATATTTCTACTGAAAAGAGTAAAAAAGCAATTCGAAGAGGAAATGAAGCTTTCATAACGAACGTTTATTCAGACGGCAAATGACGGCATTGAAAAGTTTCATGAAACTCAGACGGAAAAAGATGCATTGAAGAGTTTTAAAAGCACGTCAGTCGATAAGAAAGAATCCACAAGAAAGCTTGATGAAGCTATTCTGAATGAAATTGAAGATGAAGCGAAGATTATGGAAGATATATTTCAGGCTGATGAAGAGGACGAGTCGATCAATAAAATACTTGTTAAAATTGACAATGTTTTCAAGACAATTGAAGCGAGAATTCGAAACGTGTCCTCGCCAGGAGGACTGGGTACGATCATGTCTATGGCGTAAGTCAGCTAATGCACCCCTCATTAGCTAGAGCAAAATTACCAAAACTGTCCTTGAAGAAATTTTCTGGAAATCCTACTGATTGGCAATCATTTTGCGATAGTTATAAAGCTGCCTTTCACACTTTTGTCAGTTTATCCAAAGTAGACAAATTCAACTACTTGAAGAAACTGGTGGAGGGTCCAGCATCTGCAGCAACGCAGTGTTTTCGTTACTAACGAATAAAAACTATGAGACCGCTTTTAAACTTTTGGAAGAAAGATTTGAAAATCCACAAGTCACAATTTCCAGTCATGTTGATGCCCTATTGAAGTCGGGATCTGTTTCTAATAACATACATTAAATTGGCAAGATAGGAAAGCTGTATGACAATATTGAAGCATATATTCGTAGTCTGGCGAATTTGAACATAGAATGTAAAACATATGGGACTCTTCTGATTCCAATGGTTCTTGCTACACTTTCATAAGAAATGCAGTTGTTGATAATGCGGAACGTTGGCAAGGATAATTGAAAATTAGATAATGACGTTACTCGATAGTTTTCAATGATTTTTCAAATCAGACTAATAAATAACAACGTAAATTTTCGAGTTATATGCCCTTTAACGAGTCGTCCGTGACGGGAATACTCGAGCAGTATATTAGTGCGTACTATCGGTAAAGACGGAAAGGTAACTACATTGAATCGACCTATTGATATATTGCTTCCGGCAATATGGCGACAAAGAAAAAAGCTCTCAGAAGCTCTGCGCAAAATGGAAATATTTCATCAACTTAAGCCAGTTCAGTCAAAGATTCTAAATCTCAAGGATACAATGGAGAGTGAAGATGAAAAGGAAAGTGGTGTGAAGGATATGTTCGAGATTATAATGAGAAAGCTTAGCAAGCTTGATGACATAGACAGTCGTGTCCAGTCAATGGAGAATGACCTAAAAGACATGATGAGTTCCCTAGAATTCGTGCATGCGGAGGTTAAAGATCTGAAGGAAGAAAATGAAAAACGCAAGGCAAAAGGACATAAAACGGACGAAAGACTAGAAAAATTGGAGGATCTAAATACGGCATTAAAGAATCGCGTCATTGACCTACAAACGAGGTCTATGCGCGATCATTTGATATTCTACAACATCAACGAAATGAAGAATGAAAACCCAACAGACATGGTCCACGGTATATTAGAAAATCAGTTGGGGTTTGAGAATGCGAAAGACACTGTGAAAATATATATAGACCGCGCGCACAGATTGGGAAGGCCAAATCCGACTTTATTTACAACCAGATCATGAGCCATTGTCTGCAAATTCAATTTTTTTCCGGACAAAGAAAGAAATCTGGCTAACGCTAAAAAGCTAAAGGGAACAAGAATTGCGATTTCATAGCAATTCCCTGAGGAAATAATGCAAGTCAGGAAACATCACTACCCGGTTTTCGTATCCAGGCTCTTGTCCACCGCGCATATAAAATCTGCAATACTGAAGACCTCCTGAAAGATGAACTACAACACATCAAAAACTTTTTGTCATGGAATGGTTTCCCTCGAAAATTGTCATTAAAATTGATCAATTCAAACCGTCTACAACATCTAACATTAACGTTATACATCAAGATAACCCTGATACTGATCTAACTAACCCTGTCCCTAAAATCTGGCTACCTTTACCCTATCTGGGCAAATATGGTACCCGACTAACCCGCTCATTTATACATAGAATAACCCCACTACTAAAATTGAAATGCAATTTCATCATTAATTGAAAAACTACTAACAGCAACTCGTTCCTCTCAAACAAAGATAAAACACCGGCTCAATACCAAAGCTCTATAGTGTACGAATTCACCTGTCCTGGATTTAAAAGTAGATACATCGGTAAAACAGATCGCTGCTTCCACACCAGAATCAAAGAACACTCACTGGACAACAAATCTGAAGTCTTTAACCACATCACATCATGCGAACACTTTCAACATATCAAATCCATTTTAGAACTGTATCCAGACGAAGAAACTAACCCAACTCAAACTTGTATACGTTCAGAACTTATATTGACTAACTCTAAGATTATAGACAGAGCTGATCATTGGTCCTTATTGCTATTTAAGGAAGCACTTGCCATTAGACGACTTAAACCTGATTTAATCACGGAATTAAGGCATCAAAAGAACCTGTAATATTTAACAAATTGTTTCTGTACATATCAAATTACTTAATCTTCACTATATATATATATATATATATGTATATATATATATATATATATATATATATATATATATATATATATATATATATATATATATATATATATATATCGATGTAATGTAACCTAGCATCATTCCTGATGATGACTGAATCTTAGTCGAAAGTTAGAATATTATTAAAATGTTTATTTTCGGAGTTACTGTTGTTTTATATTTTATTAAAATACTCAGTGGTTCCAGCAATTGTTTTTCTAAACTACTGGAAAAGCTTATGGTAAAGAGACTAATAAATTTTATTGATAAGACAAGATATTATCAAAACATCAGTATGGTTTCAGACGCAACAGGTGAACAGAACTTGCTGTACTTGATTTTGTTGATAAAATAACTAAAGCAATCGAAGAAGGGATGTTCATTGTTGGTATCTTCCTTGATTTGTCAAAAGCGTTTGACACAATTAATCACAAGGTTTTGATAAAAAAAACACATTATGGAACATTATGGTATATATAACACATGGAACATTATGGTATACGAGGAACAGCAAAATAGTTTGAAAATTATCTATATAATAGAAAGCAATATATGTAAAATATAACGGAGTACAATCTGAAGAAATGACTATCACAAGCGGTGTGCCACAAGGATCAGTTTTAGGTCCTGTATTATTTCTCTTATAGATAAATGATATTCAATATTGCAGTAAATTGGTTTCAAGTATATTATTTGCCGATGACACTAACATACTGTATAGCGAAAACTTTAAACGAAGCTATTCAAGTTGAAATGAACAAAATTACAGATTGGTTGAATGTTAATAAATTATCTATAAACACTGCGAAAACCAAGCTGATCCTTTTCAGATCAAAAAATAAGAAACCTAAATGTGATTTAAGAATTTCTATCTATAGCGAAACTATAAAACAAGTAAAAAAAACTACGTTTTTAGGGATTGTTATTGCTGAATTTTTATCATGGTGCGATCATATAGATCTTCTTTCAAAAAAACTTATCAAATGTACAGCTATTATATCCAGAATACGACATATTCCAAACCTAAATTCTTTAAAACTGATCTATTACGCATTGATCTATGCATATCTTATATACTGTAATTTAGTTTGGGGTAACGCTTAGAAATCCCACATTCAAAAATTAGTAAATATCCAGAAAAAGATAGTAAGATTAATGACCTTCAAATCCTATTTTGACCATACTGAACCAATTTTTAATGACCTGACAAATCTAAACTTGTATAAATTGAATGATTTCTTAACAAGTCTATTTATGTTCCGATATTTTCATCTACAAAATCTTCCAGAAAATTTTGATAAATATTTTTTTAACTAACAAAGAAATCCATAACTATAACACAAGAAACGCATCATTGCTCCACAAAAGTTGTACTAGAACAAATTATAAATATTATAATAACGGCATCGATGTGTGGAATAATCTTCCGACGCAATATAAGCAAATTAGATCTCTTCCAATATTTAAATCTACATTGAAAATATATTTTCTTCTGTCAAATTTAAATAAGTAGAATTCTTGGCACAAAGTGAAACGCCAAATAGTTGCTATAGTCTGATATATCCTTTACCCACTTTCCTCATTGTAAATATATCACCATAATTCCTTTGAAAACAATTGGACTGGTATTAACTTCTAATATTATATTATTTGAATTGTAACTAGGGAACAAAAGCCTTATGGTTTCTAGAAGGTTCCTAGCCCTACTATTGTAAATATTTTCTATTTAAATTGTTAATTTTGTAAACTGATTTGGGCGAATATATTAAATAAATAAATATTGAAAAGTTGTAACCTTTAGAACTTGAATTGGAACACGAACATCCTTGAAACTTTCCAATTACGTTTACAATTACCTAGCTACTTATTTTCGTTGAATGGTTGTCACCGTTCAAGGGTGAGAGTATTATAATTAATGACGTTACTGTAATTAATGTGAGCACCTGGAATATTAATGACTGTTGTGGTTGTTCAGAGTTTAGTGAGTTGAGAAGTGAAATATAAGTTTTATAATTTATTATTGATTTAAAAACGAGATTAGTTCAATAATTTGAGTATACTTCAATTTATTACAAATACCGATAGTAATAGCTACATATTTTATAAAGACTGTTTGTACCAGTGAAAATGCTGTACTGAGTGGTTATATTACTACCTTAAAAATAAGCAGAAAAACGTGGAGATTCTGCTTATTTTTTTAAGGTAGCAATATGCCCACTCAGCACAATATTTTATTAAGACCAATGATGATCACATTTGATTTGGTCATTTGCCTGATCACATTTTTCATAACTATATTTGGATGGTTGAATAATATAATTAAACCTGATTGATTAAAAAAATTATGCGACTACAGCTCAAGCTGATGCGAAAATTTTGAAATCGCACTCCGACAACTATAACTGCATGCCAATCAGATGGCAAGAAACTGCAAGGATTTCAAAATGAAAATAATAATGTTAGTTCCATTTTACAACATTGGCTGAATGTTTATAACTATTGAAGAGCACTTTCCCTTTTATCTCGAAATGATATTATCTCATAAATTGGCTGATTCCCTATGGCTTCTTGTTACTCTAAATTTTTGAATAGATTGTTTATCAGTTAGATACCTTAGAATTTAGTCCGTCCACTTGCACTTAAATCATACTATACACACAAAACGAAGTTGCATGTGGAATAACACTTAGTTTTTAAGATATATGAAGAAATTCGAGGAAATATGTGGGAAATGAATTTTCGATTACCTGATATTAATCATTACGAATTTCAAGAATTGTGCCAATAAACATGAATTTAGGAAGAAAATACTGCATTTTGCCACTTTTCGTAATAGAACCACTTATATTGTAACAAGGAAATAAGTAAATTTTGCGTACTTATAACGTTTACCTGGTGATATTGTGTGTCAGCACAACGAAGCCAAAGTTTTGCCATTAACCAGTCCCATTCCGTGTCTTGTAATGGCGTCCATATCGGGTTGCTCTCACCAGGCTGCTGACCTAATTGTATGGCAATAGGCACCATATCATCGTTTTTCCTGAGGTAAAACAACCCCATAGCCGCTGTGATATAGCGCTTGTCTTTTGGTTTGTTCATTGTTGCTACCCCTTCAAGGATTTTGTAGTCAACGAGGAAAATCAGCCCATTCTAAAATAAATTTGACGTTATAAGACAAGCAGAAAAATGTCTACGGCGTTATTGACAAAAGAAATACGAGTTATGTTTTTGAAGTAGTGTTTAGGGGAATATAATATTATAGTGTTCTTTATATGAAGAATGATAATAAGGCAGTATATCTATTGAATTTGTAGTAGAGTTTGAAGCCGTTTAATTAATAAACGCGCAGGTCGTTTTTTTATTAAGTCTATACGGCCATTCACGCTGGGCGCTCGTGCTTTAAACCTCACAAAACACTCCTGCTCGTTTATTAAACAGTACTTAAGGACGTGTGTATCATTCGTAACATATATCATTACCGTGATTGCTTTATCTAAATTATATCCACGGTCCAACAATTTGTCTACCGTTTTATTTTTCACTGGAAAATTAACCGGCAGTTTTTCGCATTTTCTGATCACCTCTGGATTTGAGCCATTGAGAAATTGTGCTCCAAACCACACGTCATCTCGCCAATACTCGGCAGCGTGAGGAAGGTCAGTATCAATGGCTGGAGTAATGAGGTGTCGGAAATCCTCCAAGGAATCCCAAGAGTCGCAGATGTCAAAGATATGGCTCAAACCAAGGTTTGTAAAATCTTTCAAGCCTGCTCGAAACAAGGATAATGTGGCTTCGTCAGTAAACCGAACGTCTTTTGGTAGAGAGTGTGGATTTTTGGCTTCTACAAATCCAGGAAGATCTTGAGTATATCTTGCATCTGTTCCCCACTTGTACGCTTTCCTGTTCTCACTGACTTCTTTCTTGCGTTGTTCAGTTATAGCTTTACCACTGTCTTTTGAATTGGGCAAGAACGCTAAAGATTAGAACAACAAGGTTTTTATAATTGTTGAAACTTATTGAAGCATGGAAACAGTTATCACGTACCACTCTCGTCCGGAGAGGTTTTTCGAAATCCCCCCTTTACCAACAATTTACCCTGCTTACGCATTACCGATTAGTGATGTAGATAGTTTTCGGGACTAATTTTTAGGCCACCAAGGGCACTGCATCATCATCCGCGTAAAATGGGAAACACATTACACCGACCCCCATTTTTGCGGCGGAAGGAGACGGAAAGAAGCGATCCGGAAAGAGAGCGAGAGTGAACAAATTAAATATTGAGTAAATGAGAGTAAAAAATTTAAATATTCAGTAAATTAGAGTGAGCTAACTTAATATTCACTAACTGAGAGTGAGGTAACTTAATACTCAGTCAATACATACGGTCGGACTCCTCATTGATTGCCGGACGCATCATTGACACGCGCCCTTAAACAAAATATTCAGCGGATACTCTTCTTATCAGATGCGCGTCTTGCGCCCGCAACTGGTGATTTCAAAATATTGTATTGCTTGGTTGAGATGTCAAAATCTGAGCAGGACACATTGTGGCTTCATATCTTGTGTGGTGATGACATCTAACATATTTTATCCCCGAGCCGACGGCGCGAAGAACCGTGCGAGGGTACTAATTGCCCCCGGCTATTTACACCCGGGGAAACGAAAGCATTAGCGAAGTCTAAAGTTCATCAATTATCGCGGGCGTGTGTGACCAACGATGGGTGGTCATCCTCACTGATCTCAAAAATATGGAAAAATATGGCTGATTGTCATGAATAGCGGACACTGATTGGTCCAATTTAAAGTTTGCATTATAACGACTGCATGACGACAGCGAAATCTGTGGCAAAATAGCAAACATTTCTTGATTTGATCATTGATAAATTTCTTGCAAATATATTTCATTTTTGCTCGCATTTTTGCAAGATTTTGTAAATTTCAAGAGCTATCTCAGAAAGAAAGGGCGAAAGAATCGGCTAAAAGAAGGGAGACGAAGGTAAGTTTGTTTTAAATATTGATTTTATAATTGCTTTTAAACAACCCGACGGCCTTTGCGTATATGAAACAACTAAACAAGACAGCATATAATTTCAGTTTATCTTTAATATTGATTCCCTTTTTTATTATATTGAATTTTTTAAATAAATAAAAAAGAAAGAAAAGTTATTTGCATGAGAGAATTTGAAATCATTTTATTGCAAACTTAAAGTTTATCGATAAAGCCATTTAATTAAAGAGAGTTTAGTTTTATAAAGAACTCTTTAATTAAAACGTTTTGCGAAGCGTTTGTGGTTGAATTTTATCTTAAATTGAAGCTTATATTACGTATAATAACATACCTAACATATATATGCTGGGAAATTGATTTTTGGTAATTAAAAGGCGATTTGTCATTTCTAAGAATATTCTTAAATAATTATCGTGTTACCATGACAACTGCTTCATGTTCGGAAAATACAATGGTTTTATCAGAAGGCGAGGGTCTCTGCATGCATGTATTTTCTAGTTAAGTTATATTCGCCATTTCCACTTGCTTTTCTTTACTTTTGCAACTGTTTTCGTAACTCTTTTCGGAACGATCGCAGAATACCCGTCCACTTTTTAAGGTATGCCTTTCAAACATGGACACTATGTATTAATACATCTATATTTATTCTCAATAGATTAATAATAAATACATTGATAGTCTCATAGTCTAGTAAATGATAGATTAAAATCTCATGGTGGTAAAGTTAGCTACGAGGCATACAGTGACTTAGCATTAATAGATTCAATTGTCATAGTGTTTTTTATTATTATTATTATTATTATTAAATATATTTACTGATTTTGTAACAGAAGGTTAAATTACATCAGCTATATACTACAAATAATTAAATATAAAGGAGTAAACAACTATTTACAATTTAATTTCGAAATAATTTGGGGTAAAAGGGATTTTCTAAAACGTTCTGTTTTACAATAATAATTATTATATTTACAATTTCCCCTCGTATCATAAACCGAAGAGGATTTATTAGCTAAAAATTCATCCAATTTTTGAAGGTTCTCATCTCTCAAAAAGAACTGTTCGCATAAAATCTCACGTCGTTCCTTCAAGGATGGAATATTAATAAGTTCGCGTGCATCGTTATAGCTAAGTTCTGGTAAAATAATTTTCAAAGCTCTTCTTTGAACCCTTTCAATATCATCACTCAAATAACCTGGAATGTTGAAGTGCCAAACTTGGCAAGCGTATTCTAAGACTGGCCTTATAATAGTGGTAAATGCGATGGATAACATTCTAGTGTCAGCGTTGGCTCGTTTCAATAACCTAAGCATATACAATCTTTTCCCAGATTTCTTAACAATTTTATTAACGTGTTCATTCCAATTCATTTTGGTTTGGATCGTAACGCCGAGAATTTGGGCAGAATTTACACGTTCAACCTCAGTGTTCTCGATTAATAATGCTGGGAAACTCCGTTTTACCCTACCAAAGTCAAGGATCATTTCTTTACATTTAGTGACATTAAGTTTCATATTATTTGTAACCGTCCAATTATAGATATAGTCGACGAGATCCTGAAGATTACTGCTACAATCAACCATGACACTTTCAGTAGCCGTACTATCATCTACACACTTCCATCGGTCGGGCCATTCATCGAGGAGATCGTTGATCATAACCAAAAAAAGAACAGGACCCATAACAGTTCCCTGCGGTACTCCTCCGTTTAAAACTTTCCAACTCGAAGACCAACTACCCAGCTTCACACAGACATATATATATATATATATATATATATATATATATATATATATATATATATATATATATATATATATATATATATATATATATATATATATAAATTAACAAATAGATTACATTTTCCCTTTGTCTGTTCAGTTAGAGTTACACAGTATGACGTCATATGTGTGGTAAGAACAAAAAAGTAAATGACCGAAATAGTATTTCTTTTCGAAGACCGGATTGGACCAGAGCGGTCAAACTGGAAGCAGTGAGCGTGCGCAATGCGTAAGCGACATGGCTCATCCTGTAGCGCGCTCAATATGACCTAAAGGCCATAGAGCGATATCTAAGCGGACGTTCAGACTGAGTGCCCGGCACTAGTTCCCGCAGGGGCGGCGATAGTGGGGGGGGGGGAACACCCCCCACTCGTCAGCTAATCGGCAAAGTGTTATCTCAATCGGCAAAACTGGATTGGCTAGAGATAACCACTGACGAAACCAAAATTGACCTCCTGAATAATTGAATTTAAACTGAATATCACGAGTAGCATGCATCAAAGAAACCACACATGCAGCAATGCAAATTTTTTCGAATACAGTATCTTGACTTCTGGCAGCTAGTCCAAAAACATTATATTATTGAAATCATAATTAGGTAATTAAATTTGTTGTTGTTGTTGTTGTTGTTGTTGTTGTTGTTGTTGTTGTTGTTGTTGTTGTTGTTGTTGTTGTTGTTGTTGTTGTTGTTGTTGTTGTTGTTGTTGTTGTTGTTGTTGTTGTTGTTGTTGTTGTTGCTTATTATACTGTTCTATAAAAGAGGCAATAAAGACCTTTTTCCTTTGTCGGTATCACTTATTACGTCAGCAAGACGTGGCAAAATCAGTCCTCGGAAACGAGGTCGGCATTCGGCAATGCCGGGCTAAATGCACATTTTTGCCCACCTTAATTCAACCAAAGTAAGAATTTTTTATGCTGATAGCTTTTAAAATGTCAGCGATTATAGAATTCGATTCGTAGTTCGATTAACTGAACAAACTACGGTGTAAGGTTTAAAAACTGACGGGTATAATTGTGTATATACGTTAGATGTTTGAAGATCAAATTTCGCGCGTCTGGAGTTAAAATTTGGCTCCAACTTTCGAATTTTCCGGCTGGAGGTAACGTTCCAGTTATATTCCGATTTCAATGATTCGTAAATGCGTGATTAACAGTGCTCCAAGACGTGGAACAGATTTTAAGAAATGCCGAGATGTGCCGACCTAGGTCAGATTTAGGTCGGCCCTCTTTTGCCGACCTCAATTTTGACGGTTTTGACTTTTCCAGGGCTGCAAAATGGATGCCGACAAAGGAAAAAGGTCGCTTCGCACAGAAAAATTCGCTAGTGGAAGACCGACTTAATAGAGGGTAATAAAGCGCATTTAAACATGCACATTTACTATAGATGGCCCTGAAGGGGTAAAATGGGAACTGGGATTGATCTATTTTTAGACTGGGGAAATGGGATTTGGGTTGCTGGGACTGGCATTTGGCCACTAATAATGGGAAATGAAGTCCTCAAAAATGGGAATGGGATTGAAGTAATGTGAGTCGATTCCCAATTTTGATCCGTTTTTGGTGTCTTTAGTCATGATTTTTGTTGTTAACTATATTATTCACAGCGTTACCTGCGAACAGACATACTCTGGCGCCCACTTTTGGGTTTTCTGATTATGCGTGTCTCAGAATGATGCAAATGCCGGCCATTTCCGGGATTCAAATTTAAAAATTTTCCGTGCCTTCGGCACGAGCCCCCCCCCCCAATATTTCATAAAGTGTCCGCCACTTGCACACACGGTGGCTTAAAAGGTCTTAAAACTGTTTATTCTACCGATAAATAAAAGGTTTTTTATTGACTGGGATTTCAATAATTCGGATTGGGATTTCTAATAAAAATCCAACTGGGACTGGGATTTTGCCAAAATTTCAGGTGGAAAATGGGATTGGGCTACTGACTTGGCAAAATTACCAAACAACAGTCGGCAAAAGATCACTCACACCCCCACCCCCCCACTCGAAGAGGGTTAGCGCCGCCCCTGAACTTCAGCGTCTTTCCATACTGCAGGAACGTGCTGTTGCTGTATCGAAGCATTAAAAAGTGAGGCAATTGGTAAGGCTAAGATATAAGCATAATGTTCAAGTACCCAATTTGGGATGCCGTCTGAACCTGACGATTTCGAGACACATATATCAGACAATTTATTATACACACTTTCTTCGTCAATAATAAATTGGGGATGAATGTTACTTTCATTAAACTCGAACTGACTTTCTGTAGATTCTGGCTGTAAAGGTGTAATTTCATTAGTAATTGATATGAAGAAGTCGTTAATTTTATTTGCTAAAACATTTCCAACAACAATCTCATTGTCAAGGACCATAGACGATATTGCCTTTCTCTTCGGATACCCTGCGAATTGTTTTAAACAATCCCACCACTTTTGCGGGTTAGGATTAGATTTAAGCTGGTCCATTTTTTTATCAAGATAGCTGGACCTCAGTTGTTTCCTTTTTCTATTAGCTAGGTTACGCAAATAATTGTACTTTTGGATATTCCTGTCATGATATGCTTTTTGCCTATCTTTAATGATTTCTTTGAATTCGGGCGTTACCCAGGGTTTATCATTAGCATGTAGTTTGATAATTTTAATCGGAAAGAAACAATCTAAACCAGTGTTGATAACTTTCGTGAAAAAATCTAGCTTGTCTTTACACGAGACAGTACGATACAAAGTCGACCAATTATAATCAGCTAACCATTTTCCAAACGCTGTCTTGTTGGCATGTATATTACGTCGAATTTTCACTTTATTGGTCTCGTTTTTTATCAGATTTCTTTTAAGTGTACATAACACAGAGCTATGGTCGCTTAGTCCAATAGGAGAGGTTACCAATGCAGGGTTGCAACAGGCAGACATATTCGTAAGAATTAGATCCAGGGCAACATCTTTCCTCGTAGGTTTTTTGACAATTTTTTTCAGTCCGAAATGTCTTAGTAACGCTGAAACAGGACATCTATTAAAGTCACCGACCAGGAAAATTCCTGCATTAGGGTACTTCATAAGGGCTAAATCGAGGCTTAAGATAATGTGTTCGACTAGGGCATGATTATCGTTGGGTGGTGGATGATAAACAACACATACTATCAGGCATGAAAAGCCTCGAGGAAGTTTATACGGTCTCAAATATAACCACAGTGTTTCAAAACATTCGTCTTGTAGTTCGGGTAATAATTTAAATGGAATAGATGATTTAATAAAGGCTCACACGCCTCGTCCTATCTTGTTAACTCTATCACGCCTGACAAGGGAGTAACCATCAATTTCGACAGCGCTATCGTGGATGTTTTCACTCAGCCACGTTTCTGTAATAAAGGCCATGTTTATACAACTTGCTTTCAGAATAGTTTCTAACTCATCAATCTTAGGAAGAAGTGATCTTACATTAGATAGAATAAACAAAGATTCACCACTTTGGGGAACACTGTTAAGGGGCTCCTGATGAAACTTGGAACTATGCAGGTACATTGTGTCCTGAGTGCTTATACTTTCAGATTTATCTGGGAACATTGATGTTTCAATATAGATTAGGTTATTAAAATTTGCCTCATTAATTGTTGGTCCATTTACTAATGTTTGTTGATGATTATATAGGCTTAGGGATAAGAAATGATCTAGTAATAAAACCTGAACCATTTCGTTTTGTCTTTCCATTTGATTTCTGAACGAAAAACTTGCTCACATGAAGATTTTACTTTTTTCCGCCTCAGACTAGTTTTTCGTCGATCTTTCGTCGGTTCCTCTCTTCTAGTGATTCGAGTTGGAATGGGTTTGTTGTTAGCTATTCTACCCTGTACCAAATTACTCTGCTGCGTATGTAGTTTAGGTGATGGACCCCCGTGGCCTTTGACCTTTGTCCTATATAGGCCGCGTTTTGAACGATGGAAATAACTTGGGTTTTTTAATAATGAACAATTTTCTAGGGCTTTGCTACGCTTATTATCTGGACCAACAGATAATTTTTCAGTTTCTATTAATAATCTTTCATTGTTATCAATAGTGAAAACTTCGCACACAATAACGCTATTATTACCAAGACCCTCAACACTGAAAGAAGCATCTTCAAGCGGGTTTTCAACACTTACAAAACTTTCTGCCTCTTTTAATTCAGTCATATTATCCAGACATTGTAAAGAAATAGAGGCTCTCGTATTATTTTCAAGGTCAACATGAGGCTCGAGTGTTTGATGTATGCATGTTTGATTTAACGGCTCAGTGATTTTTGCTTCAAAACTACTTAATTGGCGTTAAGTGTATAGTGTTAAAGGTATAGCTCTATACAGGGTGTATAAAAAAACACTGAACAGATTTAAAATTGCTCTCAATTTCGCAAAACAGCTATTTGATTCTGGTTTTTTTATATATATAGCTTCTTTGCGTACTTATCATAGATATCTTATATACTGGTATATACTAGATAGTGCATCTAATTATTCTGCAATTCAAAAATTGAAGCCGTGTTTGCAGTGTCAGGTCGTTCCCATGAAATGAGAAGATTCGTATGTTTTCTATTTCTTAAACAGGGAACTTAAACATTAACTTAACCCTATTCCAAAAATATTTTTAAACTATTGGAATGATGAAAGTTATTGTTGTTTTTAAGTGTTTATTAGCATGTGGGAACGACCAACATGGCCGCCAACAGTTTCAAATGGGGGTAACCGCTGGAATATTCTTGGCTTCAATTTTATTAAAAGAGATGCGCTATCTAGTGTATATAAGATATCTATGGTACTTATAATGTAAAATAATGAAAAAAAATTCTCGAACTCAAATTTTGTGAACCAGGGGGGTGTGTCTTTTCCAACAAACTAAAAATGGCGCGCGCACAAAATTTAAAAGCTGCAATCATATTTTGAGTTGACAGATGGAAAATCTGCCGGGATTTTAATTACTGTACAAAATTTCAGACAATTTGGTTTAGTTTAAGCCCCTTAACTATTCACGCAAAGTTACAATTTTCCCGAAAAATCAGCTATTTGCATGCTTAATTAATGCATTTGCCTAATTTGCATATGTCAGCAATATGCAAATTAGGTAAAGGCATTAATTAAGCATGCGAAAGGCTGACTTTTTAGAACAAAATGAATAGTTAAAGGGCTTAAACTAAACCAAATTGTCTGAAATTTTGTACAGTAATTAAAAACCCGACAAATTTTCAATCTATCAACTCAAAATATTATTACAGCTTTTAAATTTTGTGCGCGAGCCATTTTTAGTTTGTTGGAAAAGACCCCCCCCCCTGGTTCACAAAATTTGAATTCGAGAAATTTTTTTCATTATTTTACATTTACATTTACAAGTACCCAAAGAAGCTATATATTTAAAAAAAACAGATACAAATAGGTGTTTTGCGAAAGTGAGAGCAATTTTAAATCTGTTCAGTTTTTTTTATACACCCAGTATATTCTGGTGGATACTCGTGATACGCAGTCAAATCGGTTATTTTGAGAACGAGGCATACAGATATATTAGCATTAGATCAAATTCTCATACTATAGGTAGCTCTATATTTTAGCGGATACCGCGTTGATATGCAGTCAAGTAGTTATTTTGAGATCAAGGCGACAGTTAGCATTAATAGATTAAATTCTCATGCTACAGAGAGCTTAAATGTGGTGTAATATGTAAATATGTTCCTCACATCCAGACATTGGTGTTTGACAGATTATGATTAATTAAGGGTTGCAATTGACCGTTATACACCAGATAATACGTTGAGGAATGGAACATATAGTTTTCTGTGAATTCTCCAAAAGAGTTTTCACCCACACAGTCTTAGCACTTTGTGTACAACAGTCTACGACGCAAGTAAATGGGTGTTGCATGACTGTAACTCCATTAACCGTAAGAGTTTGTTGTCTAAGTTTACGATTCGATACATATGCATGGACAGCCTTCTTCTGGCGAAGACGATCGCTCGCATTTGCAAACGTATTACCATCGCAGATGTCGCTTTCATAAGACATGTTTCCTGGTCAAGAGTCACTGAGAGTAAAATGATTTAAAGGACGGATGGTGAAACATGTTTATACCGTTGGCTAAAGTCTATGATGACTATATATATATTATACCTCAAATTCAAATTGTCCAATGAAAAAACAGCATTTGTACCACATGATAATGTGATTTTTTACGGTATTTCACTCAAATTCATGATTTCGCAATCCAGCGTGGGATACTATAATATCCCATGGCAGCTCCACCGTTGGATATTATAGTATTCCACGCTCACGCGTGACGCGTGGACACCACGATCTGAAAAAATATGGCGTTCGCGAAATATGGCGTTCATTGTTTGTAATTTCGTATTTTCGTACAGAATATTTGACTTAACAAAACATTTTCAAGACGTATATTACCTTTAATGATCCAAAGGATACATGCTCAAATATTTTAAAGAGGAAACGTCAAAAACTCAGGTATACATAAGAAATTAAAAATTGTATTCGCGTATTTTAAAATATTCAGCAAGTTTTATTTAAAAAAAGTTTATTCTGAACTTAGTGAGTTCTTTAACTTTCGGTATAATATATCATTTATAGACCCTCCGCTCGGGGGATTCGGCGATATTTCCCTCAGTGATGATATTTTCCTCTGGGCAAAGCCCCTCGGAAAATATCATCACTTCGGGAAATATTACGCCGAATCCCCCTCGCTGCGGGTCTATAAATGATAAATAGTCCATGAAAACTAATTAAGGCTATTTATATAATAACTACAGTGAAACACGCAATTTGATTGGTCAACAGCCGTGCAGGATCAGACAATACTGCACGGGAAATTCTGAACAGAAATTCTTGCGCATAATTTTACAAATATACTCGCATTGTAAAGTTTCATTGTACGATATCTTTCGACTTTGAAGTAAGTTTGCAATTATTGAAACGTTGGTTTAGTTGTATGAATAAATTTCTGATCGATACATTGCTATTCAGCAAGTAGCAACGCGTATAAAGCGTTGAAACTCATCAGACCATAACAATGATGGCATGCAAGTACAACATCTCTCGCTTCAAAGTTGATCAAACGCTACATTCGTCTCGAACGTCTACAATAACCCTCTGCACCATCATTGCTTGCTTGCTGGTGTTCTGGGCTTCTTGACTGCTGTTTACGTTCCGTAATTTCGGGTTGCTTCGACTGTACGTTCGTTCCCGAATCTATGTGTAGAACAGACTGATCATGCGACGCGTCTCTATGCAAATGTCTTCGATTACGGCGATATACAGCCCCTTCTGGTGTCTCGACTAAGTAACTTCGAGGCGTATCTGCTATTTCGATCACTTTCCCGGGTCTCCATTCACATTCCTGCTTGACACGTACTGCTTCACCAGTCTTTAATGGTTGTAAAGGCACGGCCGACGTGTCATAATTGGACTGATTTCTGCTCAGCCTGCTTCTTGAATTATTCTTGTCAATTTGACCATAATGCTGTCATTAGCTGTTTCCTGACGCAACTCTGCTAATTTCTTGTCACTCACTGGTAGGTTTGATATCGCCGTGTGCACACATAGAACAAGATCTTCGTCGTCGTTGTCAGAAGTAGGAAGGTGAGCTCTCGAGAGTGTATCTGCAGAATACAGCTCTTTCCCATGTTTATAACGTAAGTCGATGTCATAGCGCTGTAACCGTAGGAGCATGCGCTGCAACCTTACTGGCGCCTTGTTGAGTGGTTTAGAGACGATTGAAATGAGTGGCTTGTGATCCGTCTCGACCAACACTTTCTTGGCATAGACGTACTGATGAAACCGCTCGCAACCAAACATAACTGCCAATAATTCTTTCTCGATTTGAGCGTACTCGGACTCAGTCTCTGTTAGCGAACGAGAAACATAGGCTATTGGTGAACCGTTTTGCATCAATACTGCACCCAACCCAGACTTGCACGCATCTACTTGCAGCTTTACTGGCAACTTTGGATCGTAATATTTCAATACTCCGGGACTCGTCTCCGTTAAAAGACGCTTGATACCTTGAAATGATTGTTCATGACGCTCAGTCCAGTGCCACGCAACATCTTTCTTGAGGAGTTCGCGTAGAGGTGCCGTTACTTCTGAGACATGTGGTGCGAACCTCGCCACATAATTCACCATTCCGAGCAAACGTTGAATTCCATGCTTGTCTTCCGCAACTGGCATCTCCGTGATCGCTTTTAACTTAGATGCGTCTGGCTTGACTCCATCTCCGGTAAGTACATGCCCAATGTACAAAACTTTGGTGCGTCTGATCTGGCACTTGTCAGGATTTAGTTTAAGATTGCCTTGTCTTGCTCCCAGCAAAACTTTCTCCAACCTTTCGTCGTGCTCTTCTATCGTAGTGCCCCATACCAGGATGTCGTCGATGTCAGTCTCAACACCGTCAAGATCTTGGAAAAGCTCATCTATCCTCTTGTGGAATACTTCCTGGGCGCTATGAATGCCGAAAGGCATACGTGTATAACGATATCTTCCGAAAGTTGTTCCGAAAGTTGTAAGATATGAACTCTCTTCGTCTAAAGAAATTTGCCAAAATCCCGATCTTGCGTCAAGAGTAGAGAAATATTTCGCTCCACTCAGTCTCGTAGTAATCTCTCCAATCGTAGGTAGATGGTAATGTTCTCGCTTGATTGCTTTATTAAGGGGCCGCGGGTCTATACAAATTCGCAATTTGTTAGTATTTTTCTTTTCCACGACGACCATCGCATTTACCCAGTCGGTCGGTTGATCCACTGCCACGATTATACCCTGGTTGCACATTTCATCTAGCGCGTACTTGACTCGATCCTCCAAACCAAACGGAATTCGCCTTGGTGGAACTATAACTGGTTGCACTGCAGAACTCAGATTGATATGATAAGGCCGCTCTAAACATCCGATTCCCGAGAAAACATCGTGATATTCTGTTTTGACTCTCATCGCAAACGCTTCAATTCAATTCAATTCAATTCAAAAGTCTTTTTAATAGATCAAAAGATAAAAATACATATCTTATGTTACAAGTATATATTAAGAATACATTAGTAAAATTTACATCATATGAATAGGTTATAGTTAAAAATTAATCTATTTGCAAACGACTATTTAAAACGTCCCGTGTTCACTCTTGGATACTGACTAAACTCTGTCCTCAAAGAGTAGCTTGTGGATTTTTTTCTTGGTATCAAGTCGACTATGGCACTCTTCTGATTTACAGAAGCTTTAAAAATATTTCTGTCTTGTATTTCTAAAAGATATGTAATATTTACAAAACCGTTGTAGAGTATTGAGTTCGGCTGGAGAAGAACCGTAGACGGACAGGCCAAACGTTATAGTAGATATTACTAGGGTCTTAAATAGATAATCTATCTCACATTGGCTATAGCCTTCTGCCCCGAGTGTTCGTATAACGTACAAGCATTTGTTTGCTTTGACCAATTTACCTCGCACATGACTGGTGAACATGAGATTGTCTTGAAAAGTAGTACCTAAAATGGGAAGTTCTTTGCATTGGGGTATATTTATTTATGAACATTGTCAAGTTGATCATTATATCCCTTCTTCTGGATGATAAGCTCTTTACATTTACCAGGGTTACAAGTCATAAAATTATCATCAGACCAGCTCAGGAATTGTCCAACTGTATCTGTTGATGTATCAGGACCCTCACTCCAAACTGGCACTATTTTTTTTTAATCGTCCGCATATTTAAAAAGAGCGTTCTCTCCGTCTATGTCCACCTCTAAATCATTTAGGAAAATATTAAAAAGGTAGGGGCCACTTACGCTCCCGTGTTGTACCCTTATTAACATCCATCCATTCTCCACAAAAATCGTTACAAACGACTCTTTGCTTTCTATTCTTTAGAAAATTTAAATACCAATATATGATATAAGGGTTGAGTGGCACAGTTTTTAACTTTTCCGAGAGGAGTGAATGTTTCACTGAGTCGAAAGCCTTGCTATAATCCATAGAAAACAGTCTAACTGCTTTGTAGTCCGCTCTATCTAAGAAGCTGAGTACTTTGTTCTGAATAGTTAACAGAGCGTTTGTACAACTCCCCCCCCCCCTGCCTGTACGCAAATTGCGTTGGGGATAAAATTTCCTCAACTGTCGACTTGACCTGACTATTATAAACGAGCTTTTCGAAGGTCCTCGCAATTACAGGTGTAATATTTATTCCACGTAAGTCACCATCTTCCTTTGGTAAATCAACCTTTGCAAGAGGGTTAATATTCGCTCTTTTCCATGAATCTGGCCAAGTATGTGATGAAAAGGACAAATTCCAGACGTTAGTTATAACTTCGGTTAGAATTTCCGCATGATCATTCCAAACCCAATAGGGAATATAATCGGGACCTGTTGCTGTCCTCTTTATTCTTTTCAAGGCATTTCATACCTGCTGTTCCGTAAAGCTAGGAATATCTACTTCATCACCAATAATTGAGAGCGTCGGTTCGACATAACTATCATCGTGGCAGAGTTCGCCAAAGTAGCGATTTAATCTTGTAAGTGATGCATTATCTAAAGTAACTCTTGATGACAATGCATTTCGCTGAAAAATATCATTCGTCTTTCTCCACCAAGTTCTACTTCCCACCAAGGCCCTAAAATTTCCTCTGTTTTGACAAATGACATCAGAAATCCTTTTGTTAATTAAACTGAGTCTATCCTTTTGCGACCGAGAAATTCTGGATCCAGTAAGGGTCACGTGACGAAATTGAGACTGTTTTTGTGAGCATACATTTATTCATATGATCCATGATCTTACGTTCAAGACAATTCACAGCGTCATTTACATTCGTGGACTGCGATACATCCTCCCAATCTTCTTCTGCTAAAGCTCTGTGGAAATCTTCCTTTCGATGCTTTCTACAATCCCGAAATTCAACCTTTCGGCGCATGGGTTTTAGTTTCGTTCCTGCTGGTAAAATAACCCCCATGTGGTTTGTTTTAGTTAACATGTGGAAAGGATAACATTTTGAGAACAAATCTATTCTATTTGTAAGGCAGTTATCCAAACATGCGTTACCCCTTGTTGAAAAGTCGACCATTGCATCCCATCCTGATAGTTCCTCAAGATGTTTTATGTCCAAACTGTTCAAATCCCCTCCACAAACAATTACAGTGTCTGGATAGTTGTCCAGAACGTCGTCAGAAATATTTATCAAATAATCCAATAAGTCGCTCTCCAGATAATTGTGCCTAGGTGGGTGATAAAGGCCATATATCGACATGCGGTTTCCTGTAGGTAACAGAAGTGTGACACCAATAAGTTCGTACAAATATCAATAACTTTTAAGTTGTTCCGAACATATATTGCTACCCCTCGTTTTACTCTCATATCGCGTCCTTCCCAACTTCTATCTCTTCTAAATATTGAATAATTGTGAATGGTCACCACAGCATCTGGCATTTCAGGTTTCAGGTGACTCTCGCTCACCATACATACATCTACATCTATATCGGTTCCTTCTTCTTTATGCTCTACGACGGTGACAAATTCTATAAGCCCAAGTTTCTTGCATGCGTAAATACTGAGAACTGGTTCACTCTCGATGCTCGTGATATAAATTCAAAATTATGAATTGTTCCTTTGTATTGACATTGTAACGTGCAGACAGCGTCGACCGGAATATTTCCTCCATTATAGGCACTCAAACAGGCTTTCGGCTTTCCAAGCTTTATCTTTGAAGTTGTCGCAACTTGCTTGAAAGTTGAGTATGGTATCACGTTCACGTTTACCCGTATCCAGCTTTAATCGAATGTCGTGATTGTTCAATGACAGTGTTACATGTTCAGTTTCAGACTGTCGAATCCGATCGACAGATTCAACTTTGACCGTCTCTAGAAACAGATATTCGTCACTTTTCTCTTGTCGACACGAGTCGACGCTTTTGCTTGAACGGCACATTCTTGCATAATGGTTCATCTTTTTGCATTTATTACATTGTTTACCACCAGCTACACATTGTCCCTTTGGATGGATTAGACCACGCTTACCACACGCATTACGCGTATGTTCATGTTTCCCTTCAGTAGCTTTCTTTACTTCTTGTGTTTTGTCTGACTTGCTTTTGTTCTGAACACGGTTCACTCCCCTGCGTTTTATTTGATTTACATGATTCGCTTCACAGCCAAACAACTTCATTTGATGTCTTGATAACTCCTCTGCTCTGCAAATCTCGACAGCTTTGTTCAATTTCAACTCTGATTCTCTCAAAAGTCATTATCGAACAACTCTCGAAGATATGCCGCTTACAATTCCACTACATATAAGATCGTCCTTAAATTCTTCTTGGGTTTACAATGTGCTTCGAATTTGTCGAAAAGGATTGCTGTGGTGATCACTTGTTGTCCATTTTCACGAGTTTCAAATTCGAACGTATCTTTAATTTCCTTCCCGTCTTTACCATTCATACACATGAACATTGCGACTTTCTATGGCTCGGTTTTTCCGGTGCATGTCGCTATCAAGTAATACTCCATGATACGTCTCCAGCGTCTCCATGTCTCTGCTAGATTTTGTGGGTTGGATAAATCCATTTCACCGGGTCCTCTTATTTCATTCATTTTGAACGTTATTCAAGTCTGCCTGACACTATGTAATATATCGAGATAAAAGTGTGTTTTAATCTATTACTCGTTTACTTAAATACACAATGATTAATTTACATAACTATAGCCTATAGAATATTACAGAATAATTTGAATATACTACAAGTAGCAAGATTTACATTATATATCAGAGAAGAAAAGATTCTATGGTTAGTTTGTATTATGGGAAAAAAACGGTCTCGTGCATTGCTTGATCAAAATATTTTATTTTATTAATTCAAGTTTCATGTTTTTATATACTACTGCTAAACGTATATTTATGAGGTTTTAATACAAGTATACGTCAGTCTATTCCCGTGAAACTGTCTTGATAAACAGAGTAAACCTGTGTTAAAAACGGGAAAAATCGCAAAACATCCAAGCCGAAAGACAGCAAGAAAACCCAGTCACACCTCGGCATAATTTACCGCTGAAAAATGCTCTTTCAAAAACAATTATTGCAGAAATAAAATAAGGAAAAACTGAAAATAAAGCCTCCAAGAAAGTTGTAACTGAATAAATGCATTAATAGAAAGCTTTGAGCGCTATTAAAAAACTTTTTTTAACTGCGATTGTGAACCTTTCTTGAAGAATAGCTTTTCGTATTGACGGATTAACAGCGCTCTTCACATGCGTAAGACGACTTGGACTGGCATTCAAGTTTGGCATCTAATTTCTGCTGAAGGTACTGTTCCAGTTATATATATTCCTTTCCATAATTGAAGATAGGATTCATGCCTAATTCCACATGCATGAAAATAGAAGATTAATGTTGAAATTACTGATAAATTAAAACAATTACACGTTTCTCCAAATTTGTTTTTGTTGTTAAAGTGGGTGCAAAAATTTTCCAAACATTCAAAACTACAAGTTTTCGTATACAACAAATGGTTACCGTTGTAATAGATTTAACAGATAAAACAATACATGTGAATTAAGTTGACTGACAGAACTTACATAAATTTTGGCGACAGTTCAACGGTTCAATAGTTCATTGAAGGCAGTATCATTCCAGTTGGCCACACAACAAGTTGAACATTTTGAGTATAGTATACGACAATACTGAACATTAGTGCAACCGTATTAATTATTAACCGGCAAATTTCAGAAAGAAGAGAGGCCACTAATAAACAAATTCTCTCTAAGCAAGATGTTTTTATTGCCACTACCTGCATTCACAGGAATTTTAAGAACCTCTTCTACATTTATTTATTTACGTTGCCATCATACGTATACATTCATTGGCTGGAAAACCACAACAGCTATTGCCAATTACTGTGGCCCCAATAGTTATACGAAAACAATTTACAAGGTATACTAAACACACACGATAAACAATATTTATTTACTTATTTATTTATTTCTTCATTTTGCGGCACACATAAAAGATATATAATTATTTGCATATAAATATATCAAAAACAATATGAACTAGAAAATGCTGTGACAGGCGAAGAAAACAGAAACTAAATTCCAATTGATATTCGACCACTTAACAATTAATGGATAACGAGACGTAATAAGACAATTATTCACGAACATATCACAGATTGCATGCAACTTAACATATAGGATACTGTACAACGAATTTTAGATTCTAATTACTCGCTGGAGCACCTGTGGCCCAGACGAGTATAGGTTTCGGCACGCATTTTTGGAGGATGTCAGATTTCCGATGTCAGATTTCCGATCGTCGTCAATAGCCACAAAATAGAATATTAATGAGCTGCCTAATTTCCCCCAAATTATCCATAATGCTCCTGCCAATTTTACCCAAATTATCCATACATAGCCTTCCATTTTGAGGAAAATTGAACAATTTTACAAGGAATTTCGCATGAAACAGCAACCTTCGCAATTCGCAAATCGCAAGTTTATAAAAGTCTATACGTTTGAATGGGCTGCTTTTATATATTTTGAGAAGAAAGCGACACCGTTCGATTCAGCGTAAGAAATTGTACTTACGGATGTCAAATGTGTTACTAAACACCAGTATTCTAGCGATTTATGAAGCGAATTGTATTGTTGAAAAATCGCTCGCAGTACGTATTGTTGATCACAAATCACTCGCACTACGTTTGTCCACAGGTTTGTCCTTGTATTTGTAATGCATAATGGCGCAATAAGGAAAAAATACCACCGTTCGATTCAGCGTAAGAAATTGTACTAATTACGAATGTCAAATGTATTACTAAACAACAGTGTTCTAACGATTTATGGCCTTTTGTCTTTGAAAGCCAAGCGAAATTGTATTGTTACCAATCGCTAAAAATTATTAAACTATTATTTAATTATAAAAAAATGCAGTACGTGCGTACCCAGGGGTGGATCTAGACGTTCTTGTGACTAGTTTCCAAGACAACACTAGCTCTCACTGTGAGGCTCGAGTTAGCTAAGGGGAGGGAGGGGGGTCCAGGTCCTGGAATAAACACAAATTAACAATTAAAGTTCATTTTTTTTTTTGAGGCATTTGCAGTCTCTAAAAAAGAACCTTTAAGTTTATACTTTATGTCAATGATCAATATGAATATGTCATTGTTCATTTGTTCTTCTGCTATCTTCACTGTGACTTCACATCAGTAATGTAAGATGACAATGACAATTGGCACACAACTACCACTGTTCTTTCAAAGTTATAGAACATCTTAGGATATCACTGGATGATCTGAATCGTATGCAGTTGACCATTGTTAGCAAAGTAACATTTCAATTATTCAGTATATGTCAAAGCAAACCACCACTTCCAAAGAAGAAACTTAGAAGTCAAAGATGGGATTATCGGGAAATATTTAAAACACATACAAATGTGCCTAACAAAATGTGAAACATTTTATGAATTCATGTGTATTAAGTTGCTAGCTTAATATTGTTCTTTATGGCTGTATGCATTTGATCAAATATATACTGTATGTGCATTTAATATTCAATTAATCATGCACATTTGTACATAAATTAACATGTCATATAGTCATGAATAATTAGTCAATTTAGTCATCACTACATAAAATATGCACCATTCTCATTCTTCTTGGATGAAGGGTAGCAAACAGATCAATGATCTGTTCATAATCCAGAGAAATTGCCTTATGTGCATGCATTAGGGTCAAACCATTTACTCTTTCCTGGCCTGTAGTGGTCCTTAAATAGTTCTTAAGAAGTCTGAGAGATGAAATTGGCCTTTCACAGCTACAGGAGGTGACAGGAATAGTTGCCAATATCTTTAGTACAGTAAAAATATTTGGAAAAGCTACAGGGTCTACAGATATTAGTGTTTTGGATACCCGGTCAGGAAGTTTGTCTATACCAACTTCCTCAACCTTATCTTCCCATCTTCTTTGCCATAAAGTTAATTCGGCAGGCAAACCAATGACATTTGGGATGTCACTAGACAGGGGCGTAGCATGACCTTTTTAACTGGGGGGGTGTAACATCTAAGTTTTACCGACCCACGCGCCACGAGGCGCCACCATGCTTGGCGCCGAGCGGAAAATTTTTGAAAATATGGAGTCTCTAGATCGTTGGAAATGGCATTTGCAGAGCCTTCTGTACCTTATACACACAAGGTTTGGTAGCTTTTATTTATATCAAACAAAACATATTGTTGAAGTTGTGTTATTTTCGAAATCCGTGAGAATCCGTCAGATATTAACAAGCTGTGAGACTGTGAGTGTGAGCTCACCGTCAGGTTTTATTAGAATCCGTGACCGCCTCTTATACGCTACATATAACATATACCATAACAGCTATACAGCAATTGACAAATAAATATTTCGGCGCGCGTTTAATTTAATGACACTTACCGTGACTTTAGTCAGCCGTCTAGAAATAACGTAGAACCAGAAACGTAGCAAATGCTTTATTAATTGGAATAATTGTTGTCTTTGTTACTTCGCGATAAGTCATTTTACCCAATGGCATTTATCTTGTTGTTTATTGTAATGAACAGACTTGAAAAATTTGCGAAACATTTTATGAGCACCGCGTGTCAATAACAAATATATAAATATAATCTTTAATTCTTTTGCGTATCATTGTATCAAGGTCAAAAGTTCGCGCACAGTTGAACATGTCCAATCAGAACCGACTGTTTTCGCAGCTCTTGCAAGTGTAATACGATAGGAAATTAGGGGCTCCAATGCTTATGCGTAGATATTTTAAGTGTTTTAATACTGAAGAATTACGTACATTTTGCATAACTTTATTGGAGAACAAGGCACAACATTAATTTAATTTTTTATTATTATTAAAAGCCATTTACCGAGGAGCAAAATTCCACTTTAACCGATTTGTTTTACCGACCGCTGTCATGGCTCTTGCCATTACCGAATAACTTCGCGTTTTACCGACTACCTCACTAAAACTGGGGGAGTGTCACACCACCCCACACCCCCCCGCACGCTACGCCCCTGTCACTAGAATAATGTTGG